ACCCTATTACCCTACCACTCAGCCTATACCCCTACCACTTCCCCTATAACCCTACCACTCACCCTATAACCCTACCACTCACCCTATAACCCTACCACTTACCCTATAGCCCTAACACTCACCCTATACCCCTACCACTCACTCTATAACCCCACCACTCACCCTGTAACCCCAACATACACCCTATAACCCTACCACTCACCCTATACCCCTACCAGCCACCCTATAACCCTACCACTCACCCAATCCCCCTACCACTCACCCTATAACCCCACCACTCACCCTATAACCCTATCACTCACCCTATAACCCTGCCACTCACCCTATAACCCTACCACTCACCCTATACCCCTAACACTAACCCTATAACCCTACCACTCACCCTTTAACCCTACCACTCACCCTAAAACCCTACCACTCCCCCTATAACCCTACCACTCACCCTATAACACTAACACTCACCCTATAACCCTACCACTCACCCTATAACCCCACCACACACCCTATAACCCTACCACTCACCCTATAACACTAACACTCACCCTATAACCCTACCACTCACCCTATAACCCCACCACTCACCCTATAACCCTGCCACTCACTCTATACCCCTACCACTCACCCTATAACCCTACCACTCACCCCTACCACTCCCCCTATACCCCTACCACTCACCCTATAACCCCACCACTCCCCCTATACCCCTACCACTCACCCTATAACCCTACCACTCAGCCTCTACCCTTACCACCCACCCTATACCCCTACCACTCACCCTATACCCCTACCACTCACCCTATACCCCTACAACTCACCCTATACCCCTACCACTCACCATATACCCCTACCACTCACCCTTTACCCCTACCTCTCACCCTATACCCTTACCACCCACCCTATACCCCTACCACTCACGCTATACCCCTACCACTCACCCTATACCCCTACCACTCACCCTATACCCCTACCACTCACCCTATAACCCTACCACTCACCCTATAACCCTACCACTCACCCTATACCCCTACCAGCCACCCTATAACCCTACCACTCACCCGATAACCCTACCACTCACCCTATAACCCTACCACTCAGCCTATACCCCTACCACTCCCCCTATAACCCTACCACTCACCCTATAACCCTACCACTCACCCTATAACCCTACCACTCACCCTATAGCCCTAACACTCACCCTATACCCCTACCACTCACTCTATAACCCCACCACTCACCCTATAACCCCACCATACACCCTATAACCCTACTACTCACCCTATAGCCCTGACACTCACCCTATACCCCTACCACTCACTCTATAACCCCACCACTCACCCTATAACCCCACCATACACCCTATAACCCTACCACTCACCCTATAATTCTACCACTCACCCTATAACCCTACCACTCACCCTATAGCCCTGACACTCACCCTATTCCCCTACCAGTCACTCTATAACCCCACCACTCACCCTATACCCCCACCATACACCCTATAACCCTACCACTCACCCTATACCCCTACCAGCCACCCTATAACCCTACCACTCACCCAATACCCCCACCACTCACCCTATAACCCTATCACTCACCCTATAACCCTGCCACTCACCCTATAACCCTACCACTCACCCTATACCCCCACCACTCACTCTATAACCCTACCACTCACCCTATAACCCTACCACTCCCCCTATACCCCTACCACTCACCCTATAACCCCACCACTCACCCTATACCCCTACCAGCCACCCTATAACCCTACCACTCACCCAATCCCCCTACCACTCACCCTATAACCCCACCACTCACCCTATAACCCTATCACTCACCCTATAACCCTGCCACTCACCCTATAACCCTACCACTCACCCTAAACCCCTAACACTAACCCTATAACCCTACCACTCACCCTTTAACCCTACCACTCACCCTACAACCCTACCACTCCCCCTATAACCCTACCACTCACCCTATAACACTAACACTCACCCTATAACCCTACCACTCACCCTATAACCCCACCACACACCCTATAACCCTACCACTCACCCTATAACACTAACACTCACCCTATAACCCTACCACTCACCCTATAACCCCACCACTCACCCTATAACCCTGCCACTCACCCTATACCCCTACCACTCACCCTATAACCCTACCACTCACCCCTACCACTCCCCCTATACCCCTACCACTCACCCTATAACCCCACCACTCCCCCTATACCCCTACCACTCACCCTATAACCCTACCACTCAGCCTCTACCCTTACCACCCACCCTATACCCCTACCACTCACCCTATACCCCTACCACTCACCCTATACCCCTACCACTCACCCTATACCCCTACCACTCACCATATACCCCTACCACTCACCCTTTACCCCTACCTCTCACCCTATACCCTTACCACCCACCCTATACCCCTACCACTCACGCTATACCCCTACCACTCACCATATACCCCTACCACTCACCCTATACCCCTACCACTCACCCTATAACCCTACCACTCACCCTATAACCCTACCACTCACCCTATACCCCTACCAGCCACCCTATAACCCTACCACTCACCCGATAACCCTACCACTCACCCTATAACCCTACCACTCAGCCTATACCCCTACCACTCCCCCTATAACCCTACCACTCACCCTATAACCCTACCACTCACCCTATAACCCTACCACTCACCCTATAGCCCTAACACTCACCCTATACCCCTACCACTCACTCTATAACCCCACCACTCACCCTATAACCCCACCATACACCCTATAACCCTACTACTCACCCTATAACCCTACCACTCACCCTATAACCCTACCACTCACCCTATAGCCCTGACACTCACCCTATACCCCTACCACTCACTCTATAACCCCACCACTCACCCTATAACCCCACCATACACCCTATAACCCTACCACTCACCCTATAACCCTACCACTCACCCTATAACCCTACCACTCACCCTATAGCCCTGACACTCACCCTATTCCCCTACCACTCACTCTATAACCCCACCACTCACCCTATAACCCCACCATACACCCTATAACCCTACCACTCACCCTATACCCCTACCAGCCACCCTATAACCCTACCACTCACCCAATACCCCCACCACTCACCCTATAACCCTATCACTCACCCTATAACCCTGCCACTCACCCTATAACCCTACCACTCACCCTATACCCCCACCACTCACTCTATAACCCTACCACTCACCCTATAACCCTACCACTCCCCCTATACCCCTACCACTCACCCTATAACCCCACCACTCACCCTATACCCCTACCACTCAGCCTATACCCTTACCACCCACCCTATACCCCTACCACTCACCCGATACCCGTAACAGTCACCCTATACTCCTACCACCCACCCTATAACCCTGCAACTCACCCTATAACCCTACCACTCACCCTATACCCCCACCACTCACCCTATAACCCTACCACTCACCCTATAACCCTGCCACTCACTCTATAACCCTACCACTCACCCTATACCCCCACCACTCACCCTATAACTTTACCACTCACCCCTACCACTCCCCCTATACCCCTACCACTCACCCTATAACCCCACCACTCACCCTATAACCCTACCACTCAGCCTATACCCCTAACAGTCACCCTATAACCCTACCACTCGCCCTATCACTCACCCTATACCCCCACCACTCACCCTATACCCCGACCACTCACCCTATACCCTTACCACTCACCCTATACCCCTACCACTCACCCTATAACCCTACCACTCACCCTATACCCCTAACAGTCACCCTATACCTCTACCACTTACCCTATAACCCTACCACTCACCCTATACCCCTAACAGTCACCCTATAACCCTATCACTCACCCTATACCCCTAACAGTCACCCTATACCCCTACCACTCACCCTATACCCCTATCACTCACCCTATAATCCTACCACTCACCCTATCCCCCTACCACTCACCCTATACCCCTAGCAGTCACCCTGACCCCTACCACTCACCCTATACCCCTACCACTCACCCTATACCCCTACCACTCACCCTATACCCCTACCACTCCCCCTATAACCCTACCACTAACCTATACCCCTACCACTCACCCTATAACCCTACAACTCACCCTATACCCCTCACCCCGCATGGTGTGAGTGCTGCAGGGCGCTGCTGCCCCTCGCTCCCCCACGCTGCTAAATGGCGACCGCGAGGCCACGTGCCCTGGAATTTCCGCCAAAGATTAAAAAAACACAATCCTCAGCTCCTCCTCCCTTCTCTCCGAACGATATAGCATCCATGCTCTCCGTCTTCTCCACTCTCGATTACACCGTGGACTCTAAACACCCTCCCCACTCGTTCTCCACCCTCTCCACTCGTTCTCCACCCTCTCCACTTGTTCTCACCTCTCTCTCTTCTCTCCATCCCCCCCTCTCTCTTCTCTCCATCCCCCCTCTCTCTTCTCTCCATCCCCCCTCTCTCTCTCTCTATTCTCTCCATCCCCCCCCCTCTCTCTCTCTTCTCTCCATCCCTCCCTCTCTCTCTTCTCTCCATCCCCCCCTCTCTCTCTTCTCTTCATCCCCCCCTCTCTCTCTTCTCTCCATCCCTCCCTCTCAACTTGGCCGGGTTCACCAAGGCGCAGTGCGCTCACCACTGCGCCCCCCCCTCCCAAAAAAAGGAGTTTAAAAAATGACGAGGCGTGGCGGATCCCAGCTCCCTCCCTCCACCATTCCTCCCACCCCCAGCATTCCCCAACACCCCCCCCCCCTCCTGCTCAGCAGCAACAGACGGGAGTCTTTGAGTTGCAGAAACTTTTACTCCGCTCTACACACAGACCAGGGGTGTTCTCTCCCTGTACAGACTGGTCTCTGTCTCTGTACAGACTGGTCTCTCTCTCTCTCTCTGTACAGACTGGTCTCTCTCTCTCTCTCTCTGTGTACAGACTTGTATCTCTCTCTATACAGACTAGTCTCTCTCTCTGTACAGACTGGTCTCTCTCTCTGTACAGACTGGTCTCTCTGTCCAGACTAGTCTCTCTCTCTGTACAGACTGGTCTCACTCTCTGTACAGACTGGTCTGTCTCTCTCTAAAACTGAGCAGTGTCTCCGCAGACTGGTCAAAGACTGGCTCATCTCTATATAGACCGATCTCTCTGTGTAACACGGAGCAGTATGTTTAACATGGACTAATCTCAATACTCCACTAGTCTCTCTAAATCTTACTTGATTGACCATTGGTGTCGAACCTATGTGCTCATTTGTTTGTGGTCGCAATTCCTGGGCCAGCCTCTACCGAGGACGAGTCTCATACTCGGAGCAGATCGTCCCACGGATCGCTGTGCAACCTGTGAAGAGTAAGGTGAGCAGGGAATTTTAGGCCCAATCCTAACCCTGTGTCGAACCAAGACGCTGCTCCTCCTCGAAGCCGTCTCCAACCAGAACCCATCTCAAGCTTTCAGACTTTCATCAACCAGGACCCGTGTCGAACTCGGCACCCAGTTTCCTTTCTGGACTTGCCTCGCGCTTGGAACATCTTCAACCCGAACCCGTATCGAGACCCACAGCTCCCCGCAGTGACTTCTCGACCCTCTCTCGAGCTTGGACCTTTCTCAAACTCCCGCAGAAAGCATCAACCTAGACCAAATATCGAACTCAGATCCCAGTTCCTGCTCATCATCGGACCTGTCCCAAGACAGGACCAACCTTCAACACAAAAACCCAGGTGGCACCTGGAAGGTTCTACAAGGATCATGGGAAACATCCGCTTCAACACCAGCACCACCACCACCACAGACATCTACCGCTGCTGCCGTTTTCTCCTGCTGCTGCTGCTGCTGCTTGGATCGGTATCAGCAGGACCAGGTAACTTGCAGTGTGGGGCGTTGGTGGATCACTCAGAGACGGGCACGCGAGTACCGTATGCAGCTGTGCACCCACGGGTTTAAGTTAGTCGGACGGGGTGTGGGGGGGGGCAGTGGAGCAAGTGGGTCATTGTCCAGCTGGGAGGCATTGTTGTTGTTGTATGCCCAGGTCGATATCGTGAAATATCAGAAGCTGCGCTCGGGTAGAGCCCGGATAGATTTTTTTTTCTGAATGGGCGACCCGTACGTGCCACGCACGAGCAGGTCGCCAAATTGTTGTACAGTAATTCGATGCTTCCACGCCGCTGCCATGGTCAAGCATGGTCATATTTCCTCCACGAGCCACAAGGCGTCGGGAGGTCCTCAATCCAGCAGTGGATCGTGCAAGGATTGGGCGGTTCTGCCACGTGTGGAGATATTTGCGTAATGAAGTGTCCGGGCCTCCCAATGGCAGGAGAAGACGCAGGCCTAAAATTGCTTGCATAGGTCACTCCTTACATAGAGACCCATCGACTTACACAGAGACCCATCGACTTACACAGATACCCATCGACTTACACAGAGACCCATCGACTTACACAGAGACCCATAGACTTACACAGAGACCCATCGACTTACACAGAGACCCATCGACTTACACAGAGACCCATAGTCTTACACAGAGACCCATAGACTTACACAGAGACCCATCGACTTACACAGAGACCCATCGACTTACACAAAGACCCAAGGACTTACGCAGAGACCCATAGACTTACACAGAGACCCATCGACTTACATAGGTCACTCTTTACATAGAGACCCATCGACTTACACAGAGACCCATAGACTTACACAGAGACCCATAGACTTACACAGAGACCCATCGACTTACACAGAGACCCATAGACTTACACAGAGACCCATCGACTTACACAGAGACCCATAGACTTACACAGAGACCCATCGACTTACATAGGTCACTCCTTACATAGAGACCCATCGACTTACACAGAGACCCATAGACTTACACTGAGACCCATAGACTTACACAGAGACCCAAGGACTTACGTAGAGACCCATAGACTTACACAGAGACCCATCGACTTACACAGAGACCCATAGACTTACACAGAGACCCATCGACTTACATAGGTCACTCCTTACATAGAGACCCATCGACTTACACAGACACCCATCGACTTACGCAGAGACCCATAGACTTACACAGAGACCCAAGGACTTACGTAGATACCCATAGACTTACACAGAGAGCCATAGACTTGCATAGGTCACTCCTTAAATAGAGACCCATCGACTTGCACAGAGACCCATAGACTTTTACAGAGACCCATCGACTTACACAGACACCCATCGACTTACACAGAGACCCATCGACTTACACAGAGACCCATCGATTTGCACAGAGACCCATAGACTTTCACAGAGACCCATCGACTTACACAGAGACCCATCGACTTGCATAGAGACCCATAGAATCAGGCAGAGACCCATAGACTCACACATATTTATAGACTCACACATTGACCCATACACTCACACAGAGACCCATTGACTTACACAGAGACCCATAGACTCAAACAGAGACCCATAGACTCACACAGAAACCCATAGATCCACAGAAACCCACTGGGGTAGCACAGAGACCCAGAGAGGCAGATGTAAAGGAAGATAGAACAGATGGAGGTGAGTCCACTCTTCCTCGTACCGCCTTCTCCTGGTGAGCCAGGGTACGGCTCCTCGGCGCTCACGCCACAGGGAGCATCCTGCTGCCTCCACACTCCTGGGTTACCGGCAGCCACGTGCGTAGCCTCCACCACCACCACCACCACCCTCCGAATGATGACGGTGACGGCGACGATGATTGGCGAGTGTCTCTGAACACCCCCCCTCCCACCTCTCAATACAGGTGAGGCGGGGGAGGTTTACCTGCTCACCGCGGCTCCGCGTGACACCGACGCGTTTCAGCGGTTCCTGCGCAGCGCACGGCACTTCAACTACACCGTCAAGGTGTGGCCGCGCACCTGGACACACAAAGGTCCCCCCGGTAGCCTTCGGCAGACCGTTGGGGCAAGTGCTGTGGGTGGCCAGCACCGCGCCCGGGCCCGCCGGTGTGACGTGTTGCACGCGCTGACACCAGGGACTCGCTTTTGAGGCTGAGTCGACCTAAGAGAAGCACGGGTTTTGTGTTCAGATATCCGTCGCCGGTGATTTGGCCGCGAGCGAGAATCGTTCCCGGGTCGACACCGGTTCTGTAGCGCAGTGCACTAACCACTGCGCCACCGCTCCCCGCGCGCGCGCACGCACACACCTGTGCGAACGTGCACGTGCGACTTGATGGACACGTGGGCTTCATTGGGTTTGCATATCTGCATCTGCACGCTCACCTGTACGCTCACTTGTACGCTCACCTGCACGCTCACCTGTACACTCACCTACACACTCACCTGTACGCTCACCTGCACGTTCACCTATTCACTCACCTGCACGCTCACCTGTACACTCACCTGCACACTCACCTACACACTCACCTGCACTCACCTGAACGCTCACCCGCACGCTCACCTGAACGCTCACCCGCACGCTCACCTGCACAACCATCCTGGGCTCTCGCGATTGGCATGGGGCCCTGATTCAAGCAATTCATCACCCCTCCTTCTCATTTACCTCCTCCCGTTCCTCTATTAAAGCCTCACCTCTTCTCCAGTGCCCGTCCCCTTCCTCTCCACCTCCCCTCGCTCGACCCCTCCACCCCTTCCCGTCCCTCCCCTATAGCCCTTTCGTGACCCCCCCCCCCCCCCACGTGCTCTCTGTAGCGGTCACTCATTGCACTGTCCCTGCCATCGAAATCGCTCGGTTTGCATTTCCCCCTTTAAAACCGCGTTGCAATTATAAGACCGCCCCCGCCCCTCCAGCCCATGGGCCCGAGTGCAGTTGCACCGCCTGCACACTCAGTGAGTGGCTACCCCCACACTGCCCCTACAGCCCATGGGCCCGGGTGCAGCTGCACCGCCTGCACACTCAGTGCGGTGGCTACCCCCACACCGCCCCTACAGCCCATGGGCCCGGGTGCAGTTGCACCGCCTGCACACTCAGTGAGTGGCTACCCCCACACCGCCCCTACAGCCCATGGGCCCGGGTGCAGTTGCACCGCCTGCACACTCAGTGAGTGGCTACCCCCACACCGCCCCTACAGCCCATGGGCCCTGGTGCAGTTGCACCGCCTGCACACTCAGTGAGTGGCTACCCCCACACCCAGGCGCTGGGTGTGGAGTCGGAGGCGAGCGGGCCGCTGGGTGGGGGCCTCGCCCTGCCGCTCGTCAAGGAGGCGCTGCAGGGCGACCTGCGGCACCTGGGGGATGACTCGGTCGTCGTCGTCATGAGCAGGTGTGTGCAGGTGTGTGCAGGTGTGAGGAGGTGTGAAGAGGTGTGAGGAAGTGTGATGAGGTGTGAGTAGGTGTGAGGAAGTGTGAGGACGTGTGAGGATGTGTGAGGAGGTGTGTGCAGGTGTGAGGAGGTGTGAGGAGGTGTGAGTAGGTGTGAGGAAGTGTGAGGAGGTGTGAGGAGGTGTGAGCAGGTGTGAGGAGGTGTGAGGAGGTGTGAGTAGGTGTGTACAGGTGTGAGGAGGTGTGAGGAAGTGTGAGGAGGTGTGAGCAGGTGTGAGGAGGTGTGAGGAGGTGTGAGGAAGTGTGAGGAGGTGTGTGCAGGTGTGTGCAGGTGTGTGCAAGTGTGTGCAGGTGTGTGCAGGCGTGAGGCGGTGTGAGGAGGTGTGGATGCGTGTGACCTGTCTGCTGTTGCCATGATTTGCTGTGTGTACTGCTGACAGAGACCATGACGTGCTGTGTGTGTGTGTGCTGTGTGTGGTGCTGTGTGTGTGTGCTGTGTGTGTGTGTGCTGTGTGTGTGCTGTGTGTGTGCTGTGTGTACTACTGACAGAGACCATGACATGCTGTGTGTGTGTGTGCTGTGTGCTGTGTGTGCTGTGTGCTGTGTGTGTGCTGTGTGTGGCGTGCTGTGTGTGTGCTATGTGTGTACTGCTGACAGAGACCATGACGTGCTGCTGGCGAGCGGGCCGGCGGAGCTGCTGGCGAAGTTCCGGCAGGCTCGCCACCGCCTCGTCTTCGCTGCCGAGTCCTTCGCTTGGCCGGACCATGGACAGCAGGGCCAGGGCCTGCGGGACCACTACCCAGCCGTTCGCCACGGCAAGCGCTTCCTCAGCCACGGCGGTGGGTGTTCAATAGGCGCTCGCTAACACCTCCCACTCCCGGGCTATATGTCAACCGCTGGGGCCCCACCGAGCCGAAGCCGCTCTGCTTCGTGGCCCCGCGCGCCCAGCCACGGCGTGCCCAAACGATGAAGCTGATGCGGTACGGAAGGATGTGGAGCTGAGTGAACTTGCCGGTACCAACGGTGTCAAGGTCGATCTCTGTGGAGGAGGCTCGTGAAGGACGATGCTGCTGCTGCTGGGCAGTTGGAGGGAGTCGCCCACCGACAACAGCGGAGGGCAGAGGAGCGACGCTCACGACAACGAGCGGAGCGCCAGGCGGCTAAAACGTAGCAAGTTGGCACAGGTGGTGCACCTGCCACCCATCGCAGTCAGTCGACTGGGTCTGTCCCGTGACCTCCTGCGAGCAGCGAGCCTTCCATACTTCACCTCGCCTGGCACAAGCGGTGAGGTGAAGTCACCGCCACCGAGTGCGTCGTGTTTTGCCGAGGGTCAGCAGCTTGGGTGAACAAATCCGCAATAATAGGTGCTCACTCACTGTGTGTGCGCCGTGGGTAGGGCTGGTGGGCACGGGCGCGGCCGTGCGGGCGCTGCTCGCTCTGTGGGACGGCGCCGGCGACACCGCCACCGACGAGAGGGACTTCTACACGCGCGTCTACCTCGACCCGGAGCTCAGGGTGCGCCCCGCGCACACCGCACTCCGCACTCTCACCCCTGACCTTTTGAGCGCACGGTCACGGTCATCGTCAAGAGCGCTCGCAGCAGCAGCAGCAGTCGTAGCAACAGGGCTTGGCACCTTTATCTTTTGATGTTGGGAAGAAGAAAAGTTTTGCCCGCTGGATGGCTGCCGCGCGGTCGGGGCAGGTGCGCGACGGGGACGTTCCACCCCGGCCGGCCGTGTATCCCACGCGGTGGGAGTTCATAATTACAAATTATAATAATTTATTTATCCAGAAAAGCCGCACCGAGTCATAGGACAATTCTTTCGGGAGGGTCCTGCATTGGGATTTTTATTTTAAGATGTTTTCAGCCAACGGGTGTTCATACAAGTGGGAGGAAACCGAAAATCCATGCGAGCGAAGGGGCAACACTCGATCCCCGTACCAATGGAATAAACAAGGCGGCGATTGGTCCACTTGCCGTGCTGCCTTCTCCTGCCAGGGCAGGGTATAGGGCTCCCCCTGGACACCCACGGGATGGGAGTTTTTCAACATTTGTGCGGCGATCCTCAACGACTCTCGCGACGCTGGATTACAGGGCAGCCGCGTGCAGCGTCGCCACCGCTGCCCGGCCCATGCCAGTCGAGCAGCCCCCCCCCCCCCCCTCCCATGGCCGTGTCCTCCGTGTTGTTACAGGAGCAGCTGAACATCACTCTGGATCACCGCTGCCGAATTTTCCAGAACCTCCACGGCTCGCTCGGTGAGAGGCATGTAAAGACACTCCAGGCACGGGTGTGCCCATTTTTCCACTGGCACACCCGAGCCATGCCAGCACGGATGGTCCCTTGGCGGAGTGGGGGGGCTTTCCTCTAGGGCTGTTTGCCACGCCGTGCTGTGCCGCGCCACGACCACGAAACACCGTCGGCCTGACGAGGAGAGACGTCCGAAACTGGCTCGAGGCCAAGCAGGGCCAGGGGGTGTGGTTAATGACGCGGTCGACGGTACGTCGTCGTGGGGACGCGGCGTCACCGCGGCGTCTCCACGTGTGTGTCCGTATGTGTGTGTCCGTATGTGTGTGTGTCCGTATGTGTGTGTGTGTGCGTGGGGAGTGGTAGCGTAGAGGTTAGCGCGCTCCATTACGAACCCGGCCACGCGGATTCGATTCCCGCTCACGGCCAACACCAGTGACGTTTACCTGAACCGGTCCTGGGTCTCCCCTAGGTCGACTCAGCCTCAGATGAGTACCTGGTGTGATGTTTAAGCATCGCCGCTGGGGAGACAAAGGCGGCCAGGCGTGTTGTTGGCCAACCATCCCCACGTGTGCCGTTCCAGCCTTCGTAAGGTGCTCTCTTCACAGCAGTAGCACAATCAGCACCATCACGGCCACCAGCAGCATCATCAGCAGCAGCATCAGCTGCAGCATCATCGGTGCCAGTGGGGCAGCAGTCGTGTCATCATCATCATCATCAGCACCAAACGTCTGTAGAGACTATACGGGGGACCTTTGTCTTTGTAGCCCACACCTGTTCTGCTGGATGAGGAGGCGCAGGGAGTGGCGGTTCGTGAGGGCGACGCCAGCATCCAGACTCAGGTAGAAGTCGCAGCCAGGGTCGTCCCGACACACCGCCCTGCACGTAAAGACAAAGGTCCCCCGTGTCGCCTTCTACTAGACTGTTGGGGCAAGTGCCGTAAAGACAAAGGTCCCCCGTGTCGCCTTCAACTAGACTGTTGGGGCAAGTGCCGTTAGCGGGCACCTACGAAGGCCGGCACGGCGCAGCTACGAGAGGGTGGGTGGCCAGGACCACGCCCGGATGGCTTTGTCGGGTTCGAAGCGCGGCGTATTAACCGCGGCGCCACCGCCCCCCCAAATACAAAGGTCCCCCGTATAGCCTTCAACAGGCTGTTGGGGCAAGTGCCGTTGTTGAAGACTACGCGGGGGATCTTTGTCTGTCTGTGCTCCAGCCGAGGTCGTGCTCAAGTTCGAGACGGGCCGCGTGCGAGCTCGCAACATCGAGTACAACAGCCTGCCCGTCGTCGTTTTCGGCAGCGGTCAAACAAAGGTGAGACAAAGGTGGTGGTGGTGGTGGGGATGATCCCTGTCAAAATGTGTTGAGTGGTGGTGGGGGATGGGGGGTACCCTATGGAAGTGTGTTGAGGTGGTTTTACACGCAGTAGGTGGCTTTCGCGACCAATATCATCTATAATACAGGTGTTTTTGGGTTAGATCGTGTAAATAGAAACATATTTACGCGATATTTTCATATTTACGCGATTTAACCCCCCCCCCCCACAAAAAAAACCTGCATTATGTGTCGAGAATGTACGTACGAAGAACTTCTTTCGCACCGTACGTAGCCAAGCGTGCTAATCGACGCGGGGGCTGTACGAGTTACAATGCAAGCCGCCCGTGGCGCGTGACGCGCTCCGTGTCGTGAGAGGAGTGGCAGCTCTGTCACGAACACCGCTTGGCGTCGCCCTCATTACCGCCGCCGCCGCCGCCACCTGTGAGCGTGGCCAGGCTCAGCTGACGTACCTGGGCAACTACATCCCGGACGCGTGGTCCTATGAGAGCGGCTGCCGCGCCTGCCTGGAGGAGGAGCGTGACCTCGCCGCCGGAACGGAGGTACAGACGCGCGGGGCATTTTGTGCCGAGCCGACCTGGAGGGGAGACCCAGCCCGGATTGGAGCGGAGCGAGTGAAGCGAATGCAAGACCCTTTGTCTTCCGAGCCGCTCCGGGGGCCGTGGGTGACGCTGAGTTTTTTCTGTTTTGATTTAAAAGCGCAGCGCGGTTTTGGTGGCTCGGCGCGGCACGGCAAACAGCCCCGGTGGACAGAGCGCACACCGGGGTGCCGTGTTGGGGCTCGCTCGCCGGCTTGGATGTGTCAGTGGGAAAAATATCACAACTTGCAGCAACAAAAAGAAGTCATCCAAATAAAACTACAGGCAATTTATAAGAGCCATTTGGATATTTATATAACATCATTCGCGGGCCATGCAAAATCATGAACTTAAAAAGTAGCCTGTTATATTTGGTTTAACATTTAATTAACTCACCCCTAATGTGATGGCTGGAACTGCTTCTCTTTGGCGAGGCGTGTGATGATGTTAGCTGGTATTGACGATGATGTTGCTACTCGCAACTCCTTTTCCAGGTTTGCTCCTATGTTTATTGAATTTCGAGTTCCGCCTGCGGTTGCCTTGACAGGGCCACACCAAATGATTTCACGGGCCTCATACGGCCCGCGGGCCAGACGTTCCCCACCCCTGACCTAGGGTGACATCAATTTCCCAGGTTCAAATATTGCACCGTAACGTAGCCAACCACGCTAATCAGAGGTGCGGGGGAAGGACAACAAACTGTGGGTCTTTGGGTGAGTATATGGGTCTCTGTGTGAGTCTGTGGGTCTCTGTGTGAGTCTATGGGTCTGTGTGTGAGTCTATGGGTCTTTGTGTGAGTCTATGGGTTTTTGTGTGAGTCTATGTGTCTATGTGTGAGTCTATGGGTCTCTGTATGAGTCTATGGGTCTCTGTGTGAGTCTATGGGTCTATGTGTGAGTCTATGGGTCTTTGTGTTAGTCTATGGGTCTGTGTGTGAGTCTATGGGTTTCTGTGTGAGTCTATGTGTCTATGTGTGAGTCTATGGGTCTCTGTGTGAGTCTATGGGTCTTTGTGTGAGTCTATGGGTTTTTGTGTGAGTCTGTGTCTCTGTGTGAGCCTATGGGTCTCTGTGTGAGTCTATGGGTCTGTGTGTGAGTCTATGGGTCTCTGTGTGAGTCTATGGGTCTATGTCTGAGTCTATGGGTCTTTGTGTTAGTCTATGGGTCTGTGTGTGAGTCCATGGGTTTCTGTGTGAGTCTATGTGTCTATCTGTGAGTCTATGGGTCTCTGTGTGAGTCTATGGGTCTTTGTGTGAGTCTATGGGTTTTTGTGTGAGTCTATGTGTCTCTGTATGAGTCTATGGGTCTCTGTGTGAGTCTATGGGTCTCTGTGTGAGTCTATGGGTCTCTGTGTGAGTCTATGGGTTTTTGTGAGTCTGTGGGTCTCTGTGTGAGTGTATGTGTCTTTGTGTGAGTCTGTGTATGCATGTCCAGTATATATCAGTTCTTAAGGAATTATTTTTTTCAATCTACATTTAAAAGTGCATAACAAATAATCTTTTGTGTGGCCAATGCCAGTGAATTATTGTATGTGATAACCCTTAGACGTCAGGGGGGTTCTCAAGTAATTAATTCTCATTAGGCATGTAAATAAATCAGTACGGCTGACGTTTTTGCTAATTAGGTGTACAAAGACAAAAATATCTCGTATAGCCTTTAACAAACTGTTGGGCGCAAGCGATATTATCGAGCACCTATGAACGGCCGGCATGGGACACAGTAGGGGTGGGTGGCCAGCACCACGCATGGCTGCCTTTGTCTCCCTAGTGGCCATGTTTACACATATCATTTAAGGCTAAGTCGACCTAGGAGAAGCCCAGGACCGGTTCAGATAATCATCACTGGTGTTACCGCGAGCGAGTATCGAACTGGGGTTTGCGTCCACGACCGCTCCCCGCATATCTCTGTGAATGTGTGCACACAAAGACAAAGATTCCCCATATAATCTTAACAGACTGTTGGCACAAGTGCTGTTAGCGAGCACCTATGAAGGCCAAGAGAGCGTACGAGGAGGTGGGTGGCCAGGACCACGCCCGGCCGCCTTTGCCTCCCCAGTGATGATGTTTAGACATCGTACCAGGTACTCATTGGAGCCCCCAGGACCGGTTTAGATACTTGTCACTGGTGTTGGCCAAGAGCGGGAATCGAACTCGGGTCGTCCGAGTTCGCAGCGTAGCGCACTAACCTCTAGGCCACCGCTCCCTACACCACTGTGTGGGGAGACAATCACAGACAAACCCAGACAAACACAGGCACACACGTGGCGACCAGGTGGCGACCAGCTGCAGTAAAAACGAGCGCGGTAGAATTTTGGGGGTTTGAAACCAGAGACGCGCGGCAGCAACGACCGCAAGAATCTGATCGCTGGGACACATGGAAAGGATCAGAGAGAGAGGAAAAGTGGGTTTCATGGCCATCACAGAGACACAGTGACTGGGTTTCATGGCCATCACAGAGACACAGTGGCTGGGTTTCATGGCCATCACAGAGACACAGTGACTGGGTTTCATGGCCATCACAGAGACACAGTGACTGGGTTTCATGGCCATCACAGAGACACAGTGACTGGGTTTCATGGCCATCACAGAGAGACAGTGACTGGGTTTCATGGCCATCACAGAGACACAGTGACTGGGTTTCATGGCCATCACAGAGAGACAGTGACTGGGTTTCATGGCCATCATAGAGAGACAGTGACTGGATTTCATGGCCATCACAGAGAGACAGTGACTGGGTTTCATGGCCATCACAGAGACACAGTGACTGGGTTTCATGGCCATCACACAGAGACACAGTGACTGGGTTTCATGGCCATCACAGAGACACAGTGACTGGGTTTCATGGCCATCACAGAGAGACAGTGACTGGGTTTCATGGCCATCCCAGAGAGACAGTGACTGGGTTTCATGACCATCACAGAGAGACAGTGACTGGGTTTCATGGCCATCACAGAGACAGTGACTGGGTTTCATGGCCATCACAGAGAGGCAGTGACTGGGTTTCATGGCCATCACAGAGAGACAGTGACTGGGTTTCATGGCCATCACAGAGATACAGTGACTGGGTTTCATGGCCATCACAGAGACACAGTGAATGGGTTTCATGGCCATCACAGAGACACAGTGACTGGGTTTCATGGCCATCACAGAGACACAGTGACTGGGTTTCATGGCGATCACAGAGAGACAGTGACTGGGTTTCATGGCCATCACAGAGAGACAGTGACTGGGTTTCATGGCCATCACAGAGATACAGTGACTGGGTTTCATGGCCATCACAGAGACACAGTGACTGGGTTTCATGGCCATCACAGAGAGACAGTGACTGGATTTCATGAAAATCACAGAGAGACAGTGACTGGGTTTCATGGCCATCACAGAGACACAGTGACTGGGTGTCATGGCCATCACAGAGACAGTGACTGGGTTTCATGGCCATCACAGAGACACAGTGACTGGGTTTCATGGCCATCATAGAGAGACAGTGACTGGATTTCATGGCCATCACAGAGAGACAGTGACTGGGTTTCATGGCCATCACAGAGACACAGTGACTGGGTTTCATGGCCATCACAGAGACAGTGACAGGGTTTCATGGCCATCACAGAGACACAGTGACTGGGTTTCATGGCCATCACAGAGACACAGTGACTGGGTTTCATGGCCATCACAGAGACACAGTGACTGGGTTTCATGGCCATCACAGACACAGTGACTTGGTTTCATGGCCATCACAGAGAGACAGTGACTGGGTTTCATGGCCATCACAGAGACACAGTGACTGGGTTTCATGGCCATCACAGAGACACAGTGACTGAGTTTCATGGCCATAACAGAGACACAGTGACTGGGTTTCATGGCCATCACAGAGACACAGTGACTGGGTTTCATGGCCATCACAGACAGACAGTGACTGGGTTTCATGGCCATCACAGAGAGAGACAGTGACTAGGTTTCATGGCCATCACAGAGACACAGTGACTGGGTTTCATGGCCATCACAGAGACACAGTGACTGGGTTTCATGGCCATCACAGACAGACAGTGACTGGGTTTCATGGCCATTACAGAGATACAGTGACTGGGTTTCATGGCCATCTCAGAGACACAGTGACTGGGTTTCATGGCCATCACAGAGATACAGTGACTGGGTTTCATGGCCATCACAGAGACACAGTGACTGGGTTTCATGGCCATCACAGAGACACAGTGACTGGGTTTTATGGCCATCATAGAGACACAGTGACTGGGTTTCATGGCCATCACAGAGACACAGTGACTGGGTTTTATGGCCATCACAGAGACACAGTGACTGGGTTTCATGGCCATCACAGAGACACAGTGACTGCGTTTCATGGCTATCACAGAGACACAGTGACTGGGTTTCATGGCCATCACAGAGACACAGTGACTGGGTTTCATGGCCATCACAGAGACAGTGACTGGGTTTTATGGCCATCACAGAGACAGTGACTGGGTTTCATGGCCATCACAGAGACACAGTGACTGGGTTTCATGGCCATCACAGAGAGAGAGTGACTGGGTTTCATGACCATCACAGAGATACAGTGACTTGGTTTCATGGCCATCACAGAGATACAGTGACTGGGTTTCATGGCCATCACACAGAGACACAGTGACTGGGTTTCATGGCCATCACACAGAGACACAGTGACTGGGTTTCATGGCCATCACAGAGATACAGTGACTGGGTTTCATGGCCATGACAGACAGACAGTGACTGGGTTTCATGGCCATCACAGAGATACAGTGACTGGGTTTCATGGCCATCACAGAGACACAGTGACTGGGTTTCATGGCCATCACAGAGATACAGTGACTGGGTTTCATGGCCATCACAGAGACACAGTGACTGGGTTTCATGGCCATCACAGAGACACAGTGACTGGGTTTTATGGCCATCACAGAGACACAGTGACTGGGTTTCATGGCCATCACAGAGACACAGTGACTCGGTTTTATGGCCATCACAGAGACACAGTGACTGGGTTTCATGGCCATCACAGAGACACAGTGACTGGGTTTCATGGCTATCACAGAGACGCAGTGACTGGGTTTCATGGCCATCACAGAGACACAGTGACTGGGTTTCATGGCCATCACAGAGATACAGTGACTGGGTTTCATGGCCATCACAGAGAGACAGTGACTGGGTTTCATGGCCATCACAGAGACACAGTGACTGGGTTTCATGGCCATCACAGAGACAGTGACTGGGTTTTATGGCCATCACAGAGACAGTGACTGGGTTTCATGGCCATCACAGAGACACAGTGACTGGGTTTCATGACCATCACAGAGAGAGAGTGACTGGGTTTCATGGCCATCACAGAGATACAGTGACTTGGTTTCATGGCCATCACAGAGATACAGTGACTGGGTTTCATGGCCATCACACAGAGACACAGTGACTGGGTTTCATGGCCATCACACAGAGACACAGTGACTGGGTTTCATGGCCATCACAGAGATACAGTGACTGGGTTTCATGGCCATCACAGACAGACAGTGACTGGGTTTCATGGCCATCACAGAGATACAGTGACTGGGTTTCATGGCCATCACAGAGACACAGTGACTGGGTTTCATGGCCATCACAGAGATACAGTGACTGGGTTTTATGGCCATCACAGAGACACAGTGACTGGGTTTCATGGCCATCACAGAGACACAGTGACTGGGTTTTATGGCCATCACAGAGACACAGTGACTGGGTTTCATGGCCATCACAGAGACACAGTGACTGGGTTTTATGGCCATCACAGAGACACAGTGACTGGGTTTCATGGCCATCACAGAGACATAGTGACTGGGTTTCATGGCTATCACAGAGACACAGTGACTGGGTTTCATGGCCATCACAGAGACACAGTGACTGGGTTTCATGGCCATCACGGAGATACAGTGACTGGGTTTCATGGCCATCACAGAGACACAGTGACTGGGTTTCATGGCCATCACAGAGACAGTGACTGGGTTTTATGGCCATCACAGAGACAGTGACTGGGTTTCATGGCCATCACAGAGACACAGTGACTGGGTTTCATAGCCATCACAGAGAGAGAGTGACTGGGTTTCATGGCCATCACAGAGATACAGTGACTTGGTTTCATGGCCATCACAGAGATACAGTGACTGGGTTTCATGGCCATCACAGAGAGACAGTGACTGGGTTTCATGGCCATCACAGAGACACAGTGACTGGGTTTCATGGCCATCACAGAGACAGTGACTGGGTTTCATGGCCATCACAGAGACACAGTGACTAGGTTTCATGGCCATCACAGAGACACAGTGACTGGGTTTCATGGCCATCACAGAGAGACAGTGACTGGGTTTTATGGCCATCACAGAGAGACAGTGACTGGGTTTTATGGCCATCACAGACAGACAGTGACTGGGTTTCATGGCCATCACAGAGACACAGTGACTGGGTTTTATGGCCATCACAGACAGACAGTGACTGGGTTTCATGGCCATCACAGAGACTTAGTGACTGGGATTCATGGCCATCACAGAGAGACAGTGACTATTAGCTACGAGCCTTTTGCCCGTCCAAGGACGGGTGTATTGCAGTAAATCTGAAACTTGCAAGCGAAATGCAGACCGCAACGTGATATTCATTGCATCCATTCGTGTTCAATTTGTAAAGCTGCAGTGACACAGACCTATTTCATTTAAAGATTATAATTGCTTGTTCATCATGACGTCCTTTTTACTTTGGTGTATCAACAGCGTTACGGAGATCGCGTGACGTGAGGGTTCTGCCTTCGTAGTGAGGGTTGTGAGTTGATGAGGAGGGGGGAGGAGGCGCCTCGCCCAATCTGGAGTGACGTCACCCGTTCATGATTTTTAATGGAAGGTGGGGGGGGTGTCCATTCGGAGGTCGTCACCTGGTCATGATTATTAATGAGGAGGGGTGTGGGGGTGTCCATTTGGAGGACGTCACCTGGTCATGAATATTAATGAGGGGGGCTGGTCGATGTGGAGTGACGTTACGAGCGTTAAGGACAGACATTCCTGGGTGATTATGATAGGTATGGGCAATGTTAAGTCTTTGGACAATGTTAAGTCTATGGGCAATGTTAAGTCTACGGGCAATGTTAAGTCTATGGGCAATGTCAGTCTATGGGCAATGTCAGTCTATGGGCAATGTTAAGTCTAAGGGGAATGTAAGTTTATGGGCAATGTTAAGTCTATGGGCAATGTTAAGTTTTTCGGCAATGTAAGTCTATGGGCAATGTTAAGTCTATGGGTAATGTTAAGTCTATGGGCAATGTCAGTCTATGGGCAATGTTAAGTCTATGGGCAATGTTAAGTCTAAGGGCAATGTTAAGTCTATGGGCAAATGGTAAGTCTGTGGGAAAAGTAAATTTATGGGCAATGTAAGTCTATGGGCAATGTTAAGTCTATGGGCAATGTTAAGTCTATGGGCAATGTTAAGTTTATGGGCAATGTTAAGTCTATGGGCAATTTTAAGTCTATGGGTAATGTTAAGTCTGTGGGCAATGTTAAGTTTATGGGCAATGTTAAGTTTATGGGTAATGTTAAGTCTGTGGGGAATGTTAAGTCTATGGGCAATGTTAAGTCTATGGGTAATGTTAAGTCGATTGGCAATGTTAAGTCGATGGGCAATGTTAAGTCTATGGGCAATGTTAAGTCTATGGGGAATGTTAAGTCTATGGGCAATGTTAAGTCTATGGGCAATGTTAAGTCGATGGGCAATGTTAAGTCTATGGGTAATGTTAAGTCTGTGGGCAATGTTAAGTCTATGGGTAATGTTAAGTCTATGGGCAATGTTAAGTCTATGGGTAATGTTAAGTCTATGGGCAATGTTAAGTCTATGGGCAATGTTAAGTCTATGGGCAATGTTAAGTCTTTGGGTAATGTTAAGTCTCACTCACACTCACACACAATCTCACTCATTGTGTTGCAATGGTGGTGGTGGTGGTGCCAGGATCGTCTGCTGCCGCGCGTGCTCGTGGCGCTGTTCGTGGAGACGCCGGTTCCCTTCTTGCCCGATGCCCTGCAGCGGATACTCACGATGGCCTACCCGGCATCACGCGTCGCGCTGTTAGTGCACTGCACGGTGAGGGCGAACGTGGCTGGGCCGGTGGCCGTGATGGTGGCCGTGATGGTGGCCGTGATACTGCTGGTGATGATGATGATGACGCTACTGCTGTCACCCACTGCCCCCGATGATGATGCTGCTGCCGCTACTGATGCTGCTGGTGGCCGTGATGATGCTGATTATGCTACTGATGATGATGACTCTGCTGCTGCTGATGATGACGACGACGACGATGATGCTGGTGATGTTCCCTGCAGGTGAAGCATCACCAGGCCCAGGTGAGTCGTTTCCTCACAGACCACTGGGCTCAGTTTGAGTCGGCCCGTGTCCTGGACCAGACCTCTGCCCTTAGCCCCTCGGAGGCCAGAGAGAGCGCCGCGTGAGTAGCAGCAACATCATCAACAACAACAACATCAACAAGAACATCAACAACATCAACATCAACAATAACATCAACAAAACATCAACAACATCAACAACATCAACAACAGCATCATCAATAATATCAACAACATCAACAACATCATCATCAACAACATAAACAATATCAACAACATCAACAACAATAGAAATAACAACATCAACAACATCAACAACATCATCAATAACATCAACAACAATAGAAATAACATCAACATCAACAACATCAACAACAGCATCATCAATAACATCAACAACAATAGAAATAACGTCAATAACATCAACAACATCAGCAACATCAGCAACATTAACAACAACATTATTGGAAATTGTATTACGGCCGGCAGGGTGACAGTGCAGTGGTGAAGAAGATCCTGGGTTCGATTCTGGCCCTAGGTTCCCTCTCTGTGCAGAGTTTGTCGGTCTCTTCCCTCTGTTCTGTAGAGTGTGCGTGAGTGTGAGTGAGTGTGAGTGTGCATGTGAGTGAGTGTGAGTGAGTGTGCATGTGAGTGAGTGTGAGTGAGTGTGAGTGAGTGTGAGTGTGATTGAGCGAGTGTGCGTGTGTGTGATTGAGTGTGAGTGAGTGTGCGTGAGTGTGTGTGATTGAGTGTGAGTGAGTGTGATTGAGTGAGTGTGCGTGAGTGTGAGTGTGTGAGTGTGAGTGTGCATGTGAGTGAGTGTGTGTGAGTGAGTGTGAGTGAGTGTGATTGAGTGAGTGTGCGTGTGTGTGATTGAGTGTGCGTGAGTGTGTGTGAGTGAGTGTGATTGAGTGAGTGTGCGTGAGTGTGAGTCAGTGTGTGAGTGTGAGTGTGCATGTGAGTGAGTGTGAGTGAGTGAGTGGAGTGTGAGTGTGAGTGAGTGTGTGTGAGTGTGAGTGAGTGTGAGTGAGTGTGATTGAGTGAGTGTGCGTGTGTGTGATTGAGTGTGCGTGAGTGTGTGTGAGTGTGTGTGAGTGAGTGAGTGGAGTGTGAGTGTGAGTGAGTGTGTGTGAGTGTGAGTGAGTGTGAGTGAGTGTGCGTGTGTGTGATTGAGTGTGCGTGAGTGTGTGTGAGTGAGTGTGAGTGAGTGAGTGAGTGTGAGTGAGTGTGTGTGTGTGAGTGTGAGTGAGTGTGAGTGTGCGTGAGTGAGTGAGTGTGTGTGAGTGTGTGTGAGTGAGTGTGATTGAGTGTGTGTGAGTGTGATTGAGTGTGCGTGAGTGTGAGTGAGTGTGATTGAGTGAGTGTGCGTGAGTGTGAGTGAGTGTGTGTGTGAGTGAGTCAGTGAGTGTGAGTGTGTGTGAGTGTGCGTGAGTGTGAGTGAGTGTGTGTGAGTGAGTGTGTGTGAGTGTGTGTGAGTGAGTGTGAGTGATTGTGCGTGAGTGTGATTGAGTGTGCGTGAGTGTGCGTGAGTGTGCGTGAGTGTGTGTGAGTGTGATTGAGTGTGCGTGAGTGTGAGTGAGTGTGCGTGAGTGAGTGTGAGTGTGCATGAGTGTGCATGAGTGTGATTGAGTGTGAGTGAGATTGTGAGTGTGATTGAGTGTGTGTAAGTGAGTGTGATTGAGTGTGAGTGAGATTGTGAGTGTGATTGAGTGTGCGTGATATTGTGAGTGAGTGAGTGTGATTGAGTGTGAGTGAGATTGTGAGTGTGAGTGAGATTGTGAGTGAGATTGTGAGGTGAGTGTGATTGAGTGTGAGTGAGATTGTGAGTGTGAGTGAGATTGTGAGTGAGATTGTGAGGGTGTGAGTCAGATTGTGAGGTGAGTGTGATTGAGTGTGAGTGAGATTGTGAGTGTGAGTGAGATTGTGAGGTGAGTGTGATTGAGTGTGAGTGAGATTGTGAGTGAGTGTGAGTGAGATTGTGAGTGAGATTGTGAGTGTGAGTGAGTGTGAGTGAGTGAGTGTGCGTGAGTGTGATTGAGTGTGCGTGTGTGGAGAGCGATAGTGTAGCGGTTAGCGCGCTGCGCTTTGAACCTGGCGACCCGGGTTCGATTCCCGCTCACGGCCAACATCAGTGACGATTAGCTGAACCGGTCCCGGGCCTCCCCTAGGTCGACTCAGCCTCAAATGAGTACCTGGTGCGGTGTGTAAACATTGCCACTAGGGAGACAAAGGCGGTCGGGCGTGGTGCAGGCCACCCACCCCCTCGTGTACCGTTCTGGCCTTTAAAGGTGCTCGCTAACAGCACTTGCCCCTACAGTCTTGTTAAGGCTATATGGGGGATCTTTTTTATCTTTGTGAGTGTGATTGAGTGAGACTGAGTGTGGCGTTTGTGCACAGACTGCCCTATATTACATCATAACAACAGTTTGGACCACTGGACGGGTTCCGCAGGATTGGAAGGATGCCGTGGTGGTCCCCCTCTTTAAGAAGGGAGACCGCACAGACTGTAACAACTACAGGGGCATCTCACTCCTCAGTGTGCCGGGAAAGGTCCTGGCAAGGATTATCCAACATCGCCTTGCCAGGCATGCTGAGGAGAGGCTTGCGGAGCCCCAATGCCGTTTCAAGAAAGGGCGGTCCTGCACAGATGCCATATTTTATGTCTAACTGCTACAGCAGAGGTGTAGGGAATTCCAGCAAGACCTACATCTCTGCTTTATTGACCTGGTCAAGGCCTATGATACCATCAATAGGCCTGGGCTCTGGGTTGTTCTTCTTGCTTTTGGAGTCCCTGACCCTCTGCTCACGATCATTAAGGACCTTCATGATGGTGAGCGGGCCCGGGTAAAACTACGTGGCCGGGAGTCAGAGCCATTCCCTGTACACCTTGGGGTGCGACAGAGATGTCCTCTTGCTCCCACATTATTTAACATCTATTTTGACCACGTAGTTCGTGAAGCCTTCAATAGCTGTACCGGGGGAATCTCCATTTGGTACAGATATAATGGAAGGCTGATCGATGTCCGGGTGCGGTCAAGGGATGGGGCTCCCTATTGCTCAACCACGTTATGTATGCCGATGATTTGGTAGTAGCTGCTCATTCAGAGGAGGAGTTGGAGACGCTGCTGCCGAGACTGGAGTGTGCCACTAAGAGATGGGGCCTTACCATCAGCACCAGCAAAACTAAGCACCTGCCTGGGTATTTTGTACCATCGGACACTCAATCACCACAAATCCCAATCGGTGATGGGGCAGTTGTGGAGAGAGTGGAGAGTTTCCCATACCTGGGCAGTGTGCTTATGACCGGCTCCAGTTTAACAGCAGAGGTCTCACTCCGAATCAGTCGAGCGGCAATATCTTTTCATCGGTTGCGTAACGCTGTGTGGAAGCGACCTGGTCTGTCGCTCCGCACTAAGCTTCAGGTCTTCTCGGCCATGGTCATTCCCTCCCTTCTCTACGCTTGCGAAACATGGACCCCCCTAATGGAACATCTTCGCCGGTTAGAAACATTTAGGCTAGCCTGCCTACGATCCATCCTGGGTTTAACCAGGCTGGATTGTGTGAGGAGCTCACAAATCCTTGAAAGATCTGGGCAAGGTCCCATCGGTGAGCTCCTCCGGCAGACAAAGCTGCGTTGGCTGGGTCATGTAGCCCGCATGCCCAGCCACCGCATGCTGAAACAGCTTTTGTTCGGCCGGATCGACGGGGCTAAACGGGCGCGGCACGGGCTAGAGAAGAGATGGAGTGACGTGGTACAAGAGGACGTGGAGCTGAGTGGACTTGCCGATGACTGGTACCAGCGGTGTCAAGATCGGCCTCTGTGGAGGAGGCTCGTGAAGGATGCTAATGGGCAGTTGGAGGCAGTCGCCCTCCAACAACAACGGAGGGCGGAGAAGTGAAGCTCACAACAACGAGCGGAGCGCCGGGTGGCTAAAGCACAGCAGGTTGGAACAGTAGGGGGCACAGGTGGTGCATCAGCCAGTCATCTCAGTCAGTCGACCCGTGGCACCTGGGTCTGCCCCGTGACCTCCTGCCAGCGGGCGTTCGACACTTCACGTGGCCTCAAGGTGCACATGGCCTGGCACAAGCATCGTGGTGACGTCACCGCCACTTAGTGGCGAATGGCGGTTGTTGTTGTGCGTGAGTGTGCGTGAGTGTGAGTGAGATTGAGTGTGATTGAGTCTGAGTCAGTGTGCGTGAGTGTGAGTGAGTGATTGAGTGTGATTGAGTGTGCGTGAGTGTGAGTGAGATTGAGTGAGATTGAGTGTGCGTGAGTGTGCGTGAGTGTGTGCGAGTGTGAGTTGTGGGGAAGCGGTAGTGTAGCGGTTAACGTACTGCACTACGAACCCGGCAACCCGAGTTCGATTCCCACTCGGTGATGATTATGTGAACCGGTACGGGCCTCCCCTCAGTTGCTCGCTAACGGCACTTGCCCCAACAGTCTAGTTGAAGGCGACACGGGGGACCTTTGTCTTTACGTGCAGGGCGGTGTGTCGGGACGACCCTGGCTGCGACTTCTACCTGAGTCTGGATGCTGGCGTCGCCCTCACGAACCGCCACTCCCTGCGCCTCCTCATCCAGCAGAACAGGTGTGGACCACAAAGACAAAGGTCCCCCGTATAGTCTCTACAGACGTTTGGTGCTGATGATGATGATGACACGACTGCTGCCCCACTGGCACCGATGATGCTGCAGCTGATGCTGCTGCTGCTGATGCTGCTGGTGGCCGTGATGGTGCTGATTGTGCTACTGATGATGAGTGCTGTGAAGAGAGAGCCGGTACGGCGCACGAGGGGGTCGGTGACCAGCACCATCGCACCAGGCACTCATTTGAGGCCGAGTTGACCTGGGGACCGGTTCAGATAATCGTCATTGGCGTTGGTGGCCATGGGCAGGAATCAAACTCGGTTTCCTTGGTCCATCAGGCAACACGCTAACCGCTACACCACCGCTCCCCACCCACGCACAACAACCGCCCATTCGCTACTAAGGGGCGGTGACGTCACCACGGTGCCTGTGCCAGGCCAGGTGTACTTTTCAGGCCACGTGAAGTGTCGAACGCCCACTGGCAGGAGGTCACGGGGCACAACCCAGCAGGTGCCACGTGTCGACTGACTGAGACGACTGACCGATGCACCGCCTGTGCCCCCTACTGTGCCAACTCGCCGTGCTTTAGCCGCCCGGCGAGCATCGCTCCTCGTACGTGCACGGACAAACACCCCAAGTTCAGGACTCACGCGGGGGCTGGAACGCTGTTGCAGACGGGTGGAACGTCTCCGTGTGCGCGAGAGATGGAGGGAGCCAAATGTGGATGAGAGAAAATCCGCAGGTGCATGGCGGTTGGTCTGGCTCAGGAGGCACGGAGGACAGAAAGCATCGGAATCCACAGGGGACGATTGTCCCTGAGTGCGACTCCACAATTAGTGGCAGTGTAACACGCGGCACGCTTTCACGAGCAATGTCAGCCCTTATACAGATCACGTAAAAATATAAATGTGTCGTTAGGGGCCGTCCATAAATGACGTCACGCACCTGGGGGGTGGGGGTCAGACATTTGTGACGATGTATGACGAGGGGGGGTTTAGAAGTGTGACGTCACATCAAAATGCGCAACTTTAAATAAATGTAAACAACACGTTCTACTTAATTAAATAGACTTTTTAATAAATGTTTTCTCCTACAACAACAGAGTGCAGCGCCACATTGAATACGCACTACAATGACAATAGTTTAAAGCGATTTGAAGCACGTTTTTTTTTAGAATGGAAATATGGTTGGGGGGGGAGGCAGAGCTTTGTGACGTCATATTTGAGGGGGGGGTCTGACTTTTTGTGACGCCGTGTGACGAGGGGGGGAGGGTAAAAAATCGTCCAAAATCGCGTGACGTCATTTATGGACGGCCCCTTAAACCCGCCACCACTCGACACAGCCATCTAGTAAGGTTTGTCACGTAAACGGAACGTGACCAATTCGTCACTAGTGCAGCACTACACCGGTGTGTTGGAGAGCCAAGCCACAACATTTACAACCCGAGTACGACGTTTCGCCAGTAATTACAACCAGCTTCATCAGGCAACAGGAGGACTTCCCCGCAAATCTGGCGGCCAGGGAATGGAACGCGCGCGGCAGGGACGCCCACCGTGGAGATGGAGCTACGACTTCGCCTCGTCTCTCCGTAGCCGAGCGGATTGGTGCACCGCGGGTACCGTGAGAGATGGGCGACTGCCTGAGCAGGGGGGTGGTGGTTGTCCGGTCGCTGGCCACCCACCCCCCTTCATGCAGCAGTGGATAAATTATGGTCGACGCCGCGTGTGTGTGCGCGCGCTCGTGGGGAGCGGTCGTGTAGCTCCGCACCCGGCGACCCGGGTTCGATTCCCGCTCACGGCCAACACCGGTGACGATTATCTGAACCGTTCCTGGGCCTCCACCTAGGTCGACTCAGCCTCAAATGAGTACTTGGTGCGGTGTAAACATCGCCACTAGGGAGACAAAGGCGGCCGGGCGTGGTGCTGGCCACCCACCCCCTCGTGTGCCGTGCCGGCCTTCATAGGCGCTGCTCGCTAACAGCACTTGTCCCGAGAGTCTGTTAAGGGGCCGTCCATAAATGACGTCACGCACCTGGGGGGGGGGGTCAGACATTTGTAACGATGTGTGACGAAGGGGGGGTGTGGGGTTGAGAAATGTGACGTCACATCAAAATGCGCAACTTTAAATATAGACAACACGTTCTACTTAATTAAATAGACTTTTTAATAAATGTTTTCTCCTACAACATCAGAGTGCAGCGCCACATTAAATACGCACTACAATGACAATAGTTTAAAGCGATTTGAAGCATGTTTTATGTTTGTGGGGGGGGGGGGGTTAGAGCTTTGTGACGTCATATTTAAGGGGGGGTCTGACTATGACGCCGTGTGACGAGGGGAGGGGGGGTCAAAAATCGCCCAAAATCGCGTGACGTCATTTATGGACGACCCCTAAGGCTTTGTCGTGCCCTGGGGAGCGGTGGTGCAGCGGCAAGCGAACGCTACGGAGCCGAGTTCTACTGAAAAGGTCCGAGGTCTCCCCTGGGTGAATTGGGCCTCAAATGCGCACGTGGTGGTGGAGTTGTGTTCAACATCGCCGCTGGGCCGTTAAAGGAGCGGGGGTCCTTTGTCTTTGTGGGCGCAGGAAGGTGCTAGCCCCCCTCGTGTCCCGCACGGGGAAGCTGTGGTCCAACTTCTGGGGGGCTCGCGGCGAGGACGGCTTCTACGCTCGCTCCGAGGACTACGTGGACATCGTGGCCAGACACAGAGTGTGCGCTCACACGCACACACTCACACACACACACTCACTCACTCGCACACACTCACTCGCACGCACTCACGCACTCACTCACACACACTCACTCGCACACACTCACGCACTCACTCACACGCATGCACTCGCACACACGCTCACATTCACATGCGCACGCACTCGCACACACATATACACACGCGCGCACGCTCACACGCGCACACTCATACGTGCGCAGGCTCACACGCGCGCAGGCTCACACACTCGTGCACACTCACACACGCACACACCCTCACACACGCACAGACTGACTCACAGGCTCACGTGCGTGCGTGCGCACACAAAGATTTTCTCCCCCCCCCACCCCCGCGTAGCCTCAACAGGCTATTGGGGCAAGTGCTGTGAGCCAGCCTCAGGGCCTGTGATGGCCGAAACTGCGCTAGAGTGGGTGGCGTTGTCAGCGCAACGCCCGGCCGCCTTTGTCTCCCCAGTGGCGACGCTTACACACTCATTAGACGCTGAGTCGACCTAAGGGGAGGCCCAGGATCGGTTCAGATAACAGTCACTGCGGTTGGCCAATTAGCGGGAATCGAACCCGGGTCGCCAGGTTCGTCGCTCAGCGCACGAACTTCGGCTTTTTGCGTTTAGTTTGTCGTCCTACGCCCTGCACCTCCGATGAGCACGGTTGGCTGCGTAAGGTGCGAAAGAAGTTCTCCACGTACGTACAAATAACGGAAAGGCCTGCACCGGTTGGAATATTCGCCGCGGCTCATGGTCTGCGAGCGGAAATTGAACTCGGCCGAGAGCGATTCGGAGCGCAGTGCGCTCGCTAAAGACGCTGCACGACCACCACTCCCCAGCTTTGAAGGGCCGCGCAGCACACCTCCGAAGGGGTGGGCGACCACTTTTAACAAGTCCTGGGCCTCCTCTGGGTTGATTCAGGCTTCAAACGTGTACCTGGTGAGATGCGTAAACATCAGCGCTGGGGAGACAAAGGCGGCCGGGCGTGGTGCGGGCCACCCACCCCCTCGTGTGCCGTGCCGGCCTCGGTTGGTGCATGGCTCACGGCACTTGCCCCAACAGTCTGTGAAGGCTACACGGGGGATCTTTGTCTCGGCAGGGGCGTGTGGAGCGTTCCGCACGTGAGCACCGTGTACCTACTGCATGGCTCCGCGCTGCGGGGGGCTCTGGGCGCCCCCCTTTACTCGCAGGGACCGGGGTCCAGCCAGGACCACGAGCTCGCCTTCTCCCACAACCTGCGCAACCGCGTAACCACCACGCAACCACCACAACCACCACAACTACTGCACAACCACCACAACCACCACAACTACTGCACAACCACCACAACCACCACGCAACTACCACAACCACCACAACCACCACGCAACTACCACAACCACCACAACCACCACAACCACCACGCAACCACCACAACCACCACAAACACCACACAACCACAACCACCACACAACCACCACAACCACCACATAACCACCACAACCACCACGCAACTACCACGCAACTACCACGGAACCACCACAACCACCACAACCACCAAGCAACCACCACAACCACCACGCAACCACCACAACCACCACGCAACTACTGCACCCTCAAACACTCGCTGATTCTTGATGTAATCGGATTGCAGCCCATCTCCACTTGTGATGCGTCTGGCTGTTGTCTGCAGGGGGTGTTCATGCACCTGACGAACAGGCATGAGTTTGGACACCTGCTGTCGCTTAGCAACCAGACCACCACTCACCTGCACAACGACCTGTGGCAGATGGAGGAGAACCCGCAGGTGAGACGCGGGTGACCGTGGCGGTCCCGTCGCGTACAAACGCAATGGTCCCCGCCGGCGTAGCGGGCTGCGCCTACCGAGCCTGGCACAGCGAGCACCTCCCGTGGCCGTGACCGTACCCGGCCGCCTTTGTCTCCTCAGTACTCACGTTTTTGTTCACACCGCACCAAGTACTGATTTAAGGTCGAGTTCACCTGGGGGGGGGGGGGGGGGGGGGGTGGGGTTGGGGAAGATGATCGCAGCTCCCCTCGTCCCGTGACATTCCAGCTCGGTTTTTGGGCAAACGTCCCCGAAGCTGCAAGAGGAATTCCCTTGGGATGGGGCGGAGTCCCAGCATCCCCTCCTTCCCCCCACCAACAGCGAAAACTCGGCAGGGCCCCCCCTGAAAAAGAGTCCTGGGACTCGGTGCTGCCTTCGTGGGTAAACGGGCGCGGTTGTAACAATGATAATTACGCTGTGTAACAAAAACACAATTTGATCCTGGGTAGTAAGTGTTATTTCCTAATTGCTTATGCCTCAAAGGTACAGAAAACGGGTATTATTCCCCACAAACTTTGCTTTTGTGACCAGGACAGTGATATTTTAAAAAATTACCTATTTTCACTGAGAAAACGTGGTGCGTATTTGTGTCATTCCTTCACGTAAAGTCTTTGTCACAAAAGCAAAGTTTGTGGGGAATAATAATAGCCGTTTTCTATACTTTTGAGGCATGAGCGATTAGAAAATAACACACACTACCCAGGAACAATAATGGTATTACATAGTGTCATAATATTGATGAGCTATAATAATAGGTAATCGCTAACGGCACTGTGCAGGCTTCGAGGGCACTCTGTGTCGTCTGTCACTGCTGCCGTCTGGTCGCACCCACAGCCCCTGCCGGCCACACCACTGGCCCGCTCCCGCACCGCGCCGGCCTTAATAGGCGCTCGCTAACGGCGCCTATTAAGGGGAGGCAGAGCCTCACCTGTCATGCGCCAATGAAAATAGCTGTTACGAAAAGTAAGAAAAAAATCAAATAAAGTAAATATTAAGATTGTTCCACTGATCTGTGTTATCAATGTCATTTCTGTTCGATTTCAATCATTTTTATTGTCAATATCGCCAAATTTGCGGAGCTCCGCTGCAAATACAGGAAGAGACGAGAGGTGAGGCAGCGACGAGCTCAGCCTCCCCTCTGATTGCGCAACCCCTCAGTAACTGGATGGAGCGCGGGCAATAAGCGCGTGCCTGTTACTATCTCAGTATGCCACCAATGTAATGTTTGTAGACCCCTTCATTTCATGTCCTCGCTTTCCATACTCCAGGTAACTTATTTAACGTACGTGTATAAAGATATTTAGGCTCGCTGGTCTCGTCATGAAACTGCAATGATAAAGCACCAGGGGAGGCAGCTATCACATCTGCCTCACTGAGGGGGACGTGAGGACACGCCCCCCTCAGTGAGGCCACACCCCCTCTGTGAGGCCACACCCCCCTCAGTGTGTGAATCTGGCTCTGACACTAGCCACTGCTGTTGACATGACGCCGTGATGATGATAAGGATGATGGTGACGATGACAATCATGAGGGTGGTGACGCTGACTGTGATGGTGATGTTAATTTGTCGATTCGAGCAATAACGACGACTACAATGACGGCGAGGACGATGATCGAGATGATGGTGATCATAACGGTGAAGTTGACGGTGGCGAGGATGATGATGATGATGACGTTCCATCCCTGTGCAGGACTGGAAGGAGAGGTATATCCACGCGGACTACGACAAAATATTTGAAGAGCAGAGCATCGTCCAGAAGGTAACGAGGTGCAGGGCGTCTCCGGGGCAGGTTGGAACACGTGGCGAGGTGCGTGCGCGTGTGTCGGTGTGTATGGGTCTGTGTGTGTCCATCAAAAAAGTAACCTGCAGCGCCACACCTATTACCATCATTAGGGGAAAAAACGGTGATCCAATCTCCAACCCCCAGGAACAGGTTTGCAGATTTGCTGAGCATTTCTGTGAGGTCCTGGGGGAGGGAAAATCCCTCAGCCAGGAAAACATCGTGGCACAAAGTGGGGATGATCCTGCTGAGGCTGCGGTGCCTCAAATATTGGAAGAAGTCACCCCCTGTGAGTGGCTGGCTGAGGTGCCATCTGTTGAGGAAGTACTGAAGGCGATCCAGAGTCTGAGACCAGGAAAGGCACCGGGCAGAGATGATCTCCCAAGCGAAATGCTGAGGGAGGGTGGCGTTTGTTCACAGACTGCCCTACATGACATCATAACAACACTCTGGACCACTGGACGGGTTCCGCAGGATTGGAAGGGGGACCGCACAGACTGTAACAACTACAGGGGCATCTCACTCCTCAGTGTGCCGGGAAAGGTCCTGGCAAGGATTATTCAACATTTCCTTGCCAGGCACGGGGAGGAGAGGCTTGCGGAGCCCAAATGCGGTTTCAGGAAAGGGCGGTCCTGCACAGATGCCATATTTTCTGTCCGTCTGCCACAGCAGAGGTGTAGGGAATTCCAACAAGACCTACATCTCTGCTTTATTGACCTGGTCAAGGCCTATGATATCATCAGTAGGCCTGGGCTCTGGGTTGTTCGTCGTGCTTTTGGAGTCCCTGACCCTCTGCTCACGGTCATTAAGGACCTTCATGATGGTGAGCAGGCCCGGGTAAAACTACGTGGCCGGGAGTCAGAGCCATTCCCTGTACACATTGGGGTGCGACAGGGATGTCCTCTGGCTCCCACATTATGTAACATCTATTTTGACCACGTAGTTCGTGAAGCCTTCAATAGCTGTACCGGGGGAATCTCCATTTGGTACAGATATAATGGGAGGCTGATCGATGCCCGGGTGCGGTCAAGGGATGGCTCCCTATTGCTCAACCACGTTATGTATGCCGATTATTTGGTAAGAGCTGCTCATTCAGAGGAGGAGTTGGAGACGCTGCTGCTGAGACTGGAGCGTGTCACTTAAGAGATGGGCCTTACCATCAGCCCCACCAAAACGAAGCACCTGCCTGGGTATTTTGTACCATCGGACACTCCACCCCCACAACTCCCAATCGGTGATGGGGCAGTTGTGGAGAGAGTGGAGAGTTTCCCATACCTGGGCAGTGTGCTTATGACCGGCTCCAGTTTAACAGCAGAGGTCTCACTCCGAATCAGTCGAGCGGCAATACCTTTCATCGGTTGCATAACGCTGTGTGGAAGCTACCTGGTCTGTCGCTCCGCACTAAGCTTCAGGTCTTCTCGGCCACAGTCATGCCCTCCCTTCTCGACGCTTGCGAAACGTGGACCCCCCTAATGGAACATCTTCGCCGGTTAGAAACATTTAGGCTCGCCTGCCTACGATCCATCCTGGGTTTAACCAGGCTGGATTGTGTGAGGAGCTCACAAATCATTGAAAGATCTGGGCAAGGTCCCATCGGTGAGCTCCTCCGGCAAGCAAGGCTGCTTTGGCTGGGTCATGTGGCCCGCATGCCCAGCCACCGCATGCCGAAACAGCTTTTGTTCGGCCGGATGGAGGGGGCTAAATGGGCGCGGCACGGGCTAGAGAAGAGATGGAGTGATGTGGTACAGGAGGACGTGGAGCTGAGTGAACTTGCTGATGACCGGGACCAGCGGTGTCAAGATCGGCCTCTGTGGAGGAGGCTCGTGAAGGACGCTACTGGGCAGTTGGAGGCAGTCGCCCTCCAACAACGGAGGGCGGAGGAGCGACGCTCACAACAACGAGCGGAGCGCCGGGTGGCTAAAGCACAGCAGGTTGGCACAGTAGGGGGCACAGGTGGTGCATCAGCCAGCCATCTCAGTCATCTTATTCGGTCGACCCGTGGCACCTGGGTCTGCCCCGTGACCTGCCAGCGGGCGTTCGACACTTCACGTGGCCTCAAGGTGCACAAAGCCTGGCACAAGCGTCGTGGTGACGTCACCGCCACTTAGTGGCGAATGGCGGTTGTTGTTGTGTGTCTGTGTGAGTGTGTGTGTGTCGGTGTGTGTCGGTGTGTGTGTGTGTTTGTGGGGAGCGGTAGTGTAGCGGTTAGCGCTACGCTGCGCTATGAACCTGGCGACCCGGGTTCGATTCCCGCTCACGGCCAACACCAGTGACGATTATCTGAACCGGTCCCGGGCCTCCCCTAGGTCGACTCAGCCTCAAATGAGTACCTGATGCGGTGTGTAAACATTGCCACTAGGGAGACAAAGGCGGTCGGGCGTGGTGCTGGCCACCCACCCCCTCGTGTACTGTTCCGGCCTTCATAGGTGCTCGCTAACAGCACTTGCCCCTAGTCTGTTAAGGCTATATGGGGGATCTTTGTCTTTTGTCTGTGTCTGTGTGTGTCGGTGTGTGTGTCTGTGTGTTTGTGTGTGGGGAGCGGTAGTGTAGCGGTTAGCGCTACGCTGCACATTGAACCCGGCGACCCGAGTTCGATTCCCACTCACGGGCAACACCGTCCTGGGCCTCCCCTAGGTCGACCCAGCCTCAAATGCGTACCTGCTGCGGTGTGTAAACATCGCCACTGGGGAGACAAAGGCGGTCGGGCGTGGTTCTGGCAACCCACTCCCTCGTGTCCCGTGCCGGCCTTTATAGGTGCTCGCTAACAGCGCTTGCCCCAACAGTCTGTTAAGACTACACGGGGGATCTTTGTCTTTGTGCGAGTGCGTAGCCGTGTAACGAGGTGTTCTGGTTCCCGCTCTTCTCGGACGCCGCGTGCGACCAAATAATCGAGGAGATGGAGAATCACGGAGAGTGGTCCGGGGGGAAACACGAGGTCACTCGCACCACCAACACCACCGCACAACCACCAAGCAACCACCACCACATCACCACAACCACGCCATCACAACCACACCCATCACCACACCACCATCCCACCGCCACCACGGCAAAACCACCAAACAACCGCCACCACACCACCACCACGCCATGACCACCACACGCATCACCACGCCACTATCCCACCGCCACCATCACCACTGCCCAACCACCACCGCCATCATCACCACCATCACCATCACCACGATGACGTTGTTGTTGTTGTTGCAGGACAAACGCGTGGGAGGCTACGAGAGCGTGCCCACCGACGATATCCACATGGGGCAGATCGGCTTCCACGACCAGTGGCTCGCCTTCCTGCGCCGCTTCATCAAGCCCGTGGTCGAGAAGATGTACAAGGGCTACGTGACCGAGGCAAGGCCCGCGGCCACGCCGACGAGCTCCAAGGCGCCCGAAAGCCGCGTTTCCATTACAGTTGCCGCGCGGGGGAGGACGGAGGGGCATGCTGCACTGCTGATGAGCTATAGCAATGGTGGAGCCAGGAATAGTCCAGCTGTGTGTGTCTAGGAGGGGCATGCTGCACTGATGAGCTATAGCAATGGTGAAGCCAGGAATAGTCCAGCTGTGTGTGGCTAGGAGGGGCATGCTGCACTGCTGATGAGCTATAGCAATGGTGGAGCCAGGAATAGTCCAGCTGTGTGTGGCTAGGAGGGGCATGCTGCACTGATGAGCTATAGCAATGGTGGAGCCAGGAATAGTCCAGCTGTGTGTGTGGCTAGGAGGGGCATGCTGCACTGCTGATGAGCTATAGCAATGGTGGAGCCAGGAATAGTCCAGCTGTGTGTGTGGCTAGGAGGGGCATGCTGCACTGATGAGCTATAGCACTGGTGGAGCCAGGAATAGTCCAGCTGTGTGTGTGGCTAGGAGGGGCATGCTGCACTGATGAGCTATAGCAATGGTGGAGCCAGGAATAGTCCAGCTGTGTGTGTGGCTAGGAGGGGCATGCTGCACTGATGAGCTTTAACAATGGTGAAGCCAGTAATATAGTCCAGCTGTGTGTGTGGCTAGGAGAGGCATGCTGCACTGATGAGCTTTAACAATGGTGAAGCCAGTAAAAGTCCAGTTGTGTGTGAATAGGAGGGGCATGCTGTACTGATGAGTTCGAATGGTGGAGGCAGTAATAGTACAGCTGCGTGTGAATAGGAGAGGCATGATGCACTGATGAACTCTTAACAATGGTGAAGCCAGCATTGATTCAGTCGTTGCTCAGTGTATTAGGGCACCTCCACACTGATGCTCTCTAAGAAGAGCGAAGAAGTCAGTATTAATACAACAGTCGTTACGGAACATATCAGGGCCACTCTAAACTTAAGGCCGGTCAGAAAAAGACAGACGTGATCATTGGTAACGGAGCAGTGGCCATTGTGGTGTCGCTCTTTTGAATGCAGTCCCTGAGCGTGCTGAGCTTCGTGGTTCGCTATCGCCCCGATCGTCAGCCGTTCCTCCGGCCGCACCATGACGCATCCACCTACACCATCAACATCGCCCTCAACACCGCCGGGGTCGACTACGAGGTACCGCGCCTCCACCACGCCTCGACCACGCCTCGACCACGCCTCCACCACACCTCCACCACACCTCCACCACACGGCGGCTACCAACACCGCACCTTGGGGTCTCCTGGTCTCTTCTTCCCCCCCCGCCCGCTTTCCTCCAAATCTCCACGAGTCCTCCCCACGTCTTGTCTCATATTGTCCCTCTGGGTCTCCCCTTTCATGCCTCCGTACGTCTCCCCACTTCCTTCCCATGCCCCCCCCCCCCCCAGCTCAACATCTCTCCCAATATCTCCATCTCATGTCCACCACCCCCCCCCTCTCCTCCTTTGTCCCCCGCGGTGCCGCAGGGTGGCGGGTGCCGGTTTCCCCGGCAGGAGTGCTCCATCACGGACTCCCGCAAGGGCTGGGCCCTCATGCACCCGGGCCGGCTCACGCACCTGCACGAGGGGCTGCCCACCACGAACGGCACGCGCTACATCGCCGTCAGCTTCGTAGACCCCTAGAGATCCCGCGATGCTGGGAGGCTCGAGCGGGACGCGCCGGGAGCCATTCCCCACCGCGCGACCGGGAGCGGCGTCCCGCCCGACGCCACGTCCTCGTAGCGAACGAGTCGTTAATCCCACCCCTTGGCCCTGCTTGCCCCCTTCCCTACACCCCACCGAGCCAGATTCAGATGTCTTCTTCTTCTTGCGAGGGTAGCAGCGCGGCACGGTTTGGTTCCCGCTGGGCTCGGAAAACGGCCAGCGGGGAAAACCACTCCGGAGCACGCGAGGGTTCTGTGCTGGCTCGGCTCGAGTGTGCCAGTGGAAAAAAAAATAAGAGGCGTAACAATGAGCTGGCAGCCCCACCCTCAACCAGCCCTGCCCACTTTTACATCGTCACACCCACTCAGCCACCAGCACCATCCCCAGCAGGTGGATTTGCCAATGGCGCAGCCCACAGCTCAGAGGCCCCACCCACTAACTCAAGTAGCCCCGCCTTTTCCCTCACCATCACGAGTTGACCATGAAGCCATACTATTTTCTATCCAGGGACAAAATTCTGAATTTTACAAAACTTTAGGACAGACTTTAAAATTGGGACCTTCAGTCAAGCCAGGGCATGTTTTTAATATAAAATTATGGTGACGGTGCACAGGCCCCAAGATAGCAGGCTGGCAGCAACGTACAGCACTATTAACGTAGTACTGGAATGGATCTAAAAATAGTTGTACACGTTTCTTGAATTGAGCAAAGTTGTGAGAACTTGGGAAAGCAGATGACGGGAGGGAATGCCAAAGTGACGCAGTGGAACAAACCACGAAGACTCTGGCCCCGAAGCTCAAAACCCGAGGATAAGAGCCAGAAACGGCTGGCAACTGAAATCTACGTGCCTCCCGCTCAGCCTTCTTATAACGCTTGACATGTGGATTCTGGCTGCGAGCCAGTTAACCCACCCCCTCGCTTTCCCCAGCTGCTCGTGTCCAGCCGTCGCCTCCGAATTCTACGATGTCGTTCCGACTCACCCCTCCGCTTGTCTCCGTCTCCACCCTGGAGTCAACTCCGTCATATTTCGCCGTTTGTCGTCGTCGGTTCTCTCGCGACGCGCCCTGCCACCGCTCCCGGCTCCATCTCCTTCGTCGCTGGGCACGGCCACCGCGTGATGGCAGACGCGTGCTGCCCCCGCTTCTTGAACGTTACAAATAAAAGGATAAGACTTTCTTGTGCAAGTTTGGGTGTCGATCCCTTGAGGGGAGGGGTGCTGGGAAGGGGTGGGGGGGCGACCCGGTGCTGGGGCTGGGCAGGGTTCAGTGCGGTTGTCGATAATTACAAGAACAAACTTTTTGGCGTTAGGTTTTATCAGCTGTGGCTTTTATAGTTCCACAGGCAATCGGCCATCCGCGATTTAAACCGGGTTCTCAAGCGCGGTGGTGTATCGGGTTTGATGGGTCTCGGCCCGATCGCCAACAACTGCACGAAAACCACTGTAAATAACCCGACTTCGCAACTGAAACATTTACCGACTTCCATATCCGAGAATTACCGTACGGGATTGACGGTCACGCGACGAGTATCGCCGTCACGCGCAGGGCAGCGGTCAAGCGATGCTCTCCGTGTGTACGAAGCAGGGCTGGGGAAATCACTTCATGGGGCCTTTCAGGGGGTAGCTCGATCACATCCACTCCCGTGGACCGTTTCTCACAGAGCCGATTTCACTGGGAAATTACAGCCAGCATTCTCAGATGTTGGCCGCATCTCCGATCGGCGCTGCGAAAGAGGTTCACAGCGTACATTGGAAAGCTCGGCCGTTGCCAACGCTAGAATATTTTTTTCGAGCATTGACAGAATAACGGGATATGCACGGAGACGGCGCGCTCATGTGAAATGGCTTTATTACATCATTTTAGTTTCTTATTTAAATAACAACGGCGACACTGCACGCTACCGCACACGGCCACTCCCCTGGAGGGGTGGTGGTGGTGGGGGGATGGGGGTGGTCAGGACAGGGGAGAGCAGGGGGGAGGCTGGGCGAGCGACGACGCAGAGCAAAGTGAGAGACGCGGTGCGTGTGACGGAAAGAGCGTGTGGATGGAGAAACGGGTTTCGGAGTCGAGTGTGCACCGAAGGATCGCAGGGCGGATTTAGATCTACGGCTGCCACGAGGCAAGGGGGGGGGGGGTGCACGGTGATATCAAACAGGTCCTGTGGACCTCATCACAATCATCGTCACCGTCGTGAGGTTGGTGGGTGCGCGAGCCATCGCTTCAGGAGGCAAGGGGGGTGAGATACTCCCAACTCCACGGGGCGAAAGTGGACAGCCAAATGGAAGGTAAAAAGCAAACAAGTTCACGATTTTATCCGCGAAGACCTTGAGTGTTTAACCCTCCTACGTCTGCACGGTGAGGTTTGTGGAAACTCAAAACACTCTGAATGCAAGACCCTCCTCAAGCAAGCAACGTGGATACTCTGGGAAGCTTCCTGGGTATAAAGAGGCCATTGTTATAATGATCTTGGGATGTCACGGGATGTGGGACGTGTGAAAGAAGAGCTTCATCGCTCATCGGGGCTTTTGCAGCTGAAAAATTAAAACGTCTTGGTGTCCAAAATGAGAGAAAGCTGAGCACCAATAAAAAAACCCCCACAAGGGTTGGGGTAGGCGAGAGAGTTCGTGAGCAGGGAGTGAGACGGCGAATGTGTGAGGAGGGGACGGGACTACAGCTATTTTAGTATCGAGACAGAAAAACGGAACTCATCTTCTCCAAAATGTAAATACCACCGAGAGTAAAATGTTAAGGCGGCAGACCGTGAAGACCGAAGTGAAACTGAATCCATGCACAACAAGGCACAGGACCCACAAAGCGGGACTGTGGGATTCCAAAGCCCACCCCGCCTACCATCAAACACCTCTTCTTTACCATGGCACATCCGAGCAGGTGGGGGGGGGGGGGGGGGTTCCACTGGCTATTTTGTCGAGCCGAGCCAGAACCAGGCTGTGAAACTGAGGTCTCGCAATACATCTGTATTTGGCTTGGGGGGCCAAGCAGGGACAGAGTAGCGGGGGGGTGGGGGGGGCAAAATATTTTCGGTTGTAGGTCGGTGTCGGTTTCACGTTGGACTTTTACCCACGACTCGACTCATCAATTGCCTTGCGTGGTAGGCGGCACGGCACGGTTCCGGGCAGTGGGGAAACAAACAAAAAACCACACCAAGCGGGTGCCTCCCGACCCGCGCCTGGCTCGGTTGTGCGGTCAGAAAAACCCCGAGGGTAAAACCAGAAATAAAGAGACACGAGAGTCCGTAGCCGTTAACGCACATTGTTCCGTTTTACAGAGCGAGACGGAAGAGCGAGTAAACAGAACCGAGCGACGTTCCCAGCGAAATGAAAAAAAGGCATTTTTTTTTTAGTTTTAAAGCGAACATGGGGAATGGGGGGGGGGGTTGGGGGGGGGGTCGGGAGGGTGCCCACTCAACCAGAAGCCAGCCACACACTCAGACCGCTTCTACAGTACACACCAAAAAGCTACGTTAAAAAGTCGATTATATTCATATATTTATAAAAACCTGCAATAAATCACGAGTTATTCTTCTTTTAGGCGATTAACGTTTTGTCTTTTAAAGATGTTTTTGATTAAAAATGTTTAATTGTATTGAGCGTCGTTAAATGGTTTCCATTTCAAAGTTTACTTTATTTTTTTTTAAAAACAGGGAGGTTCGTGTTCATCTTTGTTCTCTTTTTGAACCTGCGAACGTGGGAACGTTGATTCTGGGGGGTGGTTTTGGGGGGGGGGGGGTGTATATTTTAGGGCTGCCGAATCAGTAGAGGACGCACCACAGAACTGGGTGCGCATCAACAAACGGCGGGAGGGGTTGATCGTTACCGATCGGTAGAACGGTAAAAAAAAACCAACACCGGGTGAAGACCCAACCGCTGGACAACCCTAACACGTCAAAAACATCACCACGGGTCATTTCAAGTCTGCGTTGTGTGCAGGAAACAGCGTTCTACGGGTTTGAGACGAGAGTTGTAAGAGGTGTTCGCACCATCCAGACAACACGAGTTTCATTCGTCCCCCCCTCACCCCCATGTGTCCATTTAAACAAAAAGCACCCCCACTTATCTCAACTCTAGTAACTAATTCCTCCCGAGTTGTCGCCGTTTACAGCACACTACGACCGGGCACTCCACCACCACCACCAATCCTCTCCGCGTCCCCGTTGCACCACGGGGCTCCCCGATCATCAACCCGTAACGTTGCTGGGGAGGAGGAACGGCAAGCGGAGCAAACTCGGGGTAGGCAGGGAGGGAGGGGAAGGCAGCTGTTGGAAGTTTTAATGAAGGGTTTTCTATGGGCAACAGAAATAGCTGGGGGGGGGGGGTACAACAGGACATCGGCGATCCAAGGCAGGCACCAACACACGTGTGTGTATGTGTGTGTACAAAACAAAATACAACAATCTGGACACGGAATATCACGGGACGTTGACAACCCCCGTCGGGGCCTGGTAATGACTTGGCAACTGCCCGCACCCACCCACCTCCTTCCCATTAGAGATTAAGATTTCACGATCCTCGGTTGACGATTCGATAGGGGAAAAAAAATTGATTCTTTGCAGCTCATTTTTTATTTAACTCCCGTCGTTTGGTTTCTATCGGTTTCTCTGTTGGCGTCATTCATACGGGTTTTGTTCACGACATCAGCCCAAAGAATAAGATCAATCACCAAGGGCATATCGGCCGCGGATAACTTGCAATCATCGCAATGGTACCATCGGGGAGGGCCAGGATAGTCTTTAAAAATGAATCTGTAAATTGGTTGGCTTCGCATACTCGGAGTCCCCCATCAGTCTGCGATGTTATTTGCCCAACATAACTGCTTACAGGGTGTCATTTAATCGAATACGCCCGCACAAATGGTGTGTGTGTGAAGACCACAACCACCCACCACCGTCAGGAGGCAGTTCACCCAACCCCAAAGCAAAGCCGGGGAGGATTTGCTCGACCAAAACTACCGCCCCCCACCCTGCAGCAAGATGGGATACCACAACCCTGGGACGACGAGTCACTCCGCTCGCCTTCCCAGGCCACCCCCAGCTCTACCTCGATGACATCACCAAGCCCAGCCCATCACCGCCCGTCCAGCAGCACGAGAGGGGACGGAGGAATAAGACTCCCCTCCCCAAACTCCCCTGCCACGTGTCGTGCTGGGTGATGCATGAAGGGGGCGGTGGGAGCAATGTTTTGAGCGTTTCCCTTCTTAATGTTACCGCGGTTCTCCGGCTTTCTCCAAAAAAAAGATGTTTTAAAAGAGCACTACGCATTATAAAACATCGTTGGCGTCTTCACGATGGAGTTTAAAGTTTTACGTCGCTTAAGTTTACAGGCTCCGTGAAGGCCCGAGGGGGGCCCCGTTGAAAAACGAAAGCAATTTCAAATTTAAAAAGGAGGGGGGAGGGCGAGGACCGTCGTTACAAACTCACCCCTTATGATGCCAACAGAATTCCACACCAGAGCTGCATGTCAATTAAAAAGTGGCCACACATTCCCCGCCCCCGCCCCAATAAAAGAGGAACCCTCAAGACAGGATCATCGTGACGACCTCGGCGGGTCAGGAGTCCCCCTTCACCTGGGGTTAAAGTAATAACCGGCGCGTTATTGTTACGGCAGGTGAACGAGGCAGGCCTGTGAACCGGCCCAACATTTTTGCGAACATAAAAAACAACGGTAAAAATCACAATTATAATTGTGAAGGCCTACCAAGAGAGATACCGCAATAACAAAACAAAATAGAGAGAAGGAATCGAGTCGATATATTTTACAGTTAAAATCCGTCACAGTAACAATAATCGAATGGTAATTATTCTACCAAAAGCAAAAATGCACCCCCGTGCCCCATGAACCCGTCACCGCGTGGTGTTTAACCTATATACGAGTAGCAGTGATCATCAGCGTCGTCGTGAGCGCAAAATCACCGATTCTTGGTGCTGTGCGACTCTGGGGAGGGGGGGGGCTCTCTCGCTCGCTCTCCACCACGGCTCTGTTGTGGCTGGCACCTGTGGAGGGGGGCCGAGCGGCGCATATGTACACGTGGGTCGGTGGCGGGACACCGAGAGGCGTAACACCGGGCGTGCGCACCACGCCGCACGCGGGACGGCGTGTGGTCCGTCTCGGCACTACGGGAGCAGACAATGCCGGCCTCTGCCAGACGCACTCGTCCCTACCGTCTCCTCTTTAGAGGAGGGGGGGGGAAACACCCCTTAAGGCAGCATTGTTACAGCGCGGCTGCCAGAGAGGGGTGGGGGGGGTCTCAAACTGATGTTGGGCGAGCGTGGTGGCTTCACTGTTGCCGGCCCGGCGGGCCAGGAGCCGTCGGTAACCGTGTGTCCGCAAGCTGTGCCGGGCCAACTGCAGTCAATCGACGCAGCAACTCACCTTGTCGACCATCCACGAGTGAACCTACAACCCTGCGTGGTCACTCTGCGGCGGGACTAAAGACGACGGTTGAACGTTTATTGGTCGTTTGTTCAGCGCCCTTGAAAAATTTGCTCGCCATGTCACAGCGCGATATATATTTTTTTTAATTGTCGTTATTATCACGACCGTCATGAGTTAAAAGGTAGCGCGACGGCATTTACAGTCTGCCACGGGGGGGGGGGGGGGAACAACAAATTGGTCCGCGGCTGGAATTTTTTGCTTCAGGGTGGCAACCGCAAAGTGGCATGTTGGCCCACCTCGATTCAGCGGACGACTCGACCCGCAGGCGATTTTGGCGACGAGAAATCAAAACGCATTTCAGATGAACGGCTGCGGTTTACAAAAAGAAAAGAAAATTAAGGCGAGAAAACCCCCGATGAAAAAGATAATAAACAACAAGCATTGCAGGCAACAATAAACTTAAGACACCCTCGAGAGTTTGGTTTTTTGTGGCACGTGCCTTGGCGAAGGGAAAATTACGACCGGTAAAAAAAAGGCACAAAATAAAAATACCCAAAAAAGGAAAATGCAAAAAAAAACGAAAGCTAAATCGGTTAACGTGACGGCCAACATCAAAGGAGGAATTTCAACGCCCGGTGTGCGGGCGACGCAGCGTCGGCAGAAGTGACCCCCCCCCCTCTCTCTCTCAACTCGCAAACGCCTCGCTGCCTCGTCGCGACTCCAACCTCGCACTCCGGGGATGCAGCAACCCCACCCCCACCACCACCAAAGGAGCCAGTACCGGCTGTCATTCGTTACAAGCGCTCCCTCTCTCCACAGAGTGGTGGTTTGGGGAAGCCTTTCCTGGGAAACAATCGGAACTTAAACATTTACCTTTGGTGGTGATCCCCCCCCCACCCCCCAACATCCACACTATAATCCCTTGCCTAGCGTGATCCAAAAACCGTGCGAGAAACACCGTGCGCATCCACACGGAGGGGAAGCCGGTCTCAGAGTGCGACGTTAAAATGAGAAATGCAGCGTTGTTGTTGTTGTTGTTGCCAGCTCGACGAACCCCCCCCCCCCCCCCCCCGAGTACCCCAATTAGTGCGGCAAAGATGCACGCGGTGACGCGACGGGTGAAGGCCGTTTTCGCAGTGGGTCGGCCTAAAAAACGGGGACGCCAGACGCAAGAAATTCAGTCGCGTCCACTCTCCTGATATTGGCCAAACTTCTCCTACGAAGAACCCCTTCCCCCTCCTCCTGGAAGTCCCCGAGACTGAGTGGGGGGGGGGGGTTATTGAAGATAGGCAACTCTCAACTTTATTCTGATTATATCCAGGTTGCTGTGCAACCCCGTGTAAATAGACACGTGACAGATCCGCCGATTGAAACGGATTCTTAGGCTCACGGCACATGCAGTGATGTGTGTGCACGCGCGAGTCGACCGTTCCCATCCACACACCCGTGTGATGATACTGTAACATGCCGGGTTTGTGGAAACCCTACAATCAATATCTTGCGCGACCACGTGGCAACTAAAGCCATAATCCAGGAGGCGGCGGTGAGCCGCTTACGCCGATAGATTTCGTTTCAAACGATGGAGAGACCGCACTTCGCGGTGCATCTTGGGCCGGAAATTCCATTTAAAAAAAAAAAGAGGGCAAACTTCGTCTCCGTGTAAAACCTGAAGGGTTTGTCACTTCGGTAGATCCAGGTCACTTGCCAAACAAAGAGACAATATCCCCCCCCCATCTCACCCGGTTAAACAAAAATCACGCCACCCCACCTCCCCCTCCCCCCGCCCACCAGCGATGACGAACAGAGACGCTACGGCACAACTCTCCCGCCCCCCGGTGCTGCCGTTTGCGAGCGCGGCCGGTTGCTTTCACCACGGGGGGGACGCGCGCTCCATCGCTTCGAAGATTGGGGCCGCGAAAGCGACGAAGAACCCAACGACAAAGCGAACACCTGCCCCCCCCCCCCCCCCCCATCAGGCGGGCAACGTCGCACGTGCACAGCCCACGAGTGATCTGCGATGGGAGGTGGGGGGCGGTGAGTCACAACCAGCACCCCCCACAGTCGGACGCATTCTGCAAAGAACCCCTCCGACAGTCCAGCGTGTAATCTAATCAATCCTGCCAACCTGCCGCCCCAGCTGAGCGGTTCAGCTCTCCTCTCCCACCATCAGTGAGCCCCCCCCCTCCTCCCGCTTACCCTCGGTGGCACCTCCCCCCCACCCACCCCTGCTTTGCCCCCCCACCCCCCCCCCCTAATCTACAGCGAAGAGTAAAAAGCTGGAATGTGGTTTCACGATCGTCGTCATCGTCGTCGTCCTACCGGCCTCACTCAACAAAAACCACCCCCCCCAAAGCGCTTCTCTCCTCCTCCTGCCGTAACGGGTTTCCAACAGTGTTGGCTGCGGAGCTGACGATACGTTTTCAAAAGTGGAAACTGCGTGTATTTGCGTAATATACAGTAGAGCGGCGGACCACTGACTTGGGGAGATGTCACCCATCCCGCGAGCAGGGGAAAAAAAATAACAAAAACACGTGTCCCCGTGACGCCGGGGATGGGGGGCGGGTGATAGTTTGTTAGCGGCTCCCCCCCCCCCTACTCCACTACTGCTGCTGCTGCCTGGGGCCCCCCCCCATACCTGCAGACCCCTCCCCTCACCCCCCCAAGGACGCCCCCCACCCCAGCACTCGGTACCCCCAGGGCGAGCGCAAGGGAGGGGGGGGGACCCCACGGCCGCCACCGCCACAAGCTAAACAAACAGGCCGCAGCAGCAGCAGCCCCTCGCGCTGTTGCTATGAACAAACGAGCCAAGCAAGAGAATAATTTTAATGTGAAGTTTTACAGGGATGCTTGCTTTAGTCTGACCTTCGCCCCCAACTAGGGGCGACCTGTGACCCCACGAACACGATCAATTCCCCCCCCCCACCACGCCACCATGCCCCACCCCCCCCTGGCTAACGACAACGCTGTCAGCCACCTCCCCAACCCGCTTAGCGTAGCCCCCCCTCCCGGTCACCCTTCACGTCACGGGCGGGCAACGAGGCTTCGTTACCATCAGCTGACAAAACTACATGGGGGAGGGGGGACAGCGGAGGATCAGCGGGAGCCCTGGTTGGGCCCCACATCAAACGCACCACCCCTTCACCAACATCACCACCAGCAGCAGCTCTCAAGCCAATGCAACCATCTAGATCGTGAAGCTTCGTGACCACGTGCTTGGGCTGTGCCACCATTTACTACTGAGAGATGGGAGGGGGGGGGGGGGGAAGGGCCAGGATGTGAATTGTTTAAAAGGAAGACAAAGTCAGTGACGCTAAGAAGCATGCGGCAGTGGTGGTGGTGGTGAGGGGAATAAGGTGGTGAGGGTGTGGGGTAGAGGCTGTGAACACTACACCCGAGTCACCACCACCACCCAACAGCGTGTCTTCTTGTCAGACTGTCGTCGTTGCGCACGCACGTTGATGTGCGAGTCGGGGGACACCAGAGGGGGGGGGGGGGGGGGAGGTGGCAAGGGATTGGAGAGAGGAGTGCATCACCCAACTCTAAAGTGACCGCATAAAACCTCGTCAATGTGAGCTGCAAGTGGTGATGTCGGTGGTGGTGGTAGTTGTGGTGATGGTGGTGGCGCACGGGGCTGTGTTGTGCTCTTAGTTCCAGATCTTGAGGAAGCTGTCCCAGGAACCAGTAGCCACCGCCATGCCATCCTCCGTCACTCCAAGGCACGACACGCGGTTATCATGTCCGGCCAGCACACCTGGTCGCGTGCGCACACGCAGGGAACAAAAATGTACAGAACCCCCTTTTAGCACGAAGGTCATCAGAAGGTCACCGCGTAAGTTCTCTCGGTGCTGGGCCGTGTGAGTGCGTGCGTGTCGAAAAATTTTGCCGCTTGAGCTTCCGCCACACTTTGACGTGGACACTGTGTTCGGGGGTTCACGACAGTGTTAATGTGTCGCGCATCGCTCTCTGGGGCACGGTGGGGGGGGGAGTGCCAGGCCAGCTTCAGAGTACAGTGAAAGTAAAAGGAAGCCGACTAGACGAGCACCGAATCTAAACTAGCAGGCCACCCTCCTTGGTCAATACCGCGATTCTATCGACCTTTAAAAAAATAAACCTCTGCGTCCGCCGCAGGGTGGACGTTAAAATATGCTGCGGTAATAAATAAGGATTAGGTCAAGTGTGCCGGTGTCATGGCCCAAATTATATTTATTTGCCAAGCAGTTGCATGGATTAGCAAAAAGCAACATCGCCCCCTACGGAGCAGACTCATGCCGACTTGCAAGCGAGTGCTCCCGTTCACCGGTGCCGCACAGCGACAGCTGCCCATTCAGTTGTCCCCCCACCCGCCCCTCCTCCTGGGCTAGAAATCTGACAAGGTGACTTCGGCCAGCAGAGCAAGCAACCCGCAAATCTGGAGGTCGCGAGTTCATATCCATGGTTGGTCGGTAGACCTCAGCCCAACATCCCTGTTGGGATTGATAAAACGAGTACCGCTTTGTGGGGTGGGAAGGCAACAACGGTTGTCTCGTGGATAGATCCAACTCCCCCCCCCCCCCCCCTCACTAGCTCAGGGGATGAATGAAGCAGGCACGTGCACCGCCTTAATGCCCATGCGAGGAGGAAATCTCTGACTGGGTTAAAAAAAGGAAAAAGAACACCGCCGCAAGACATTCCGGCACGATTCCTGGCGCGATTTTTTTTAAAAACTGCCGATCATTCATCTGCGACGTCGGTGCTGTGTCGCACCTGCGCGCTCGGCCTTCATGGCGTCCCACACGTTGCAGTTGAAGTCGTCGTAGCCGGCGAGCAGCAGGCGCCCGCTGCGGGAGAAAGCCACGGAGGTGATTCCGCAGATGATGTTGTCGTGGGAGTACAGCACCAGCTCCTGGTCGGCGCGCAGGTCAAACAGGCGGCACGTGGCGTCGTCGGAGCCCGTCGCGAACGCGTTGCCGTTCGGGAAGAACTGCACCACACCACGCGCGCAACAAAAGGCAAAAGATCAACCCTCGCCCGCGTGCAGCCTGAACAGACTGCCGGGGCAAGTGCTGCTCGCGAGCACCTACGATGGCGACGGGGAAAAAAAAAAAGCACACGAGGGGGTTGGCGGCCAGCAGCACGCGACCGCACCTTTGTCTCCCCTGTGGCGATGTTTGCACATCGCACCAGGTACTCATTGAAGGCAGTAGACCTAAATGAGACCCAGGACAGGTTCAAATACATGTCGCACGCCGTTATCGGTTGCGAGCGGGAATTTCACTCGGGTCGCCGGGTGTGCAGAGCAGCGCCCTTAACCGCGATACTACGGCTCTCCAAGACGAAGAAACATAAGCACATCATGTGTCAACGCGATGATGGAGAATGTCAACGCAGTCCTTCCCCCAACTGCTAGGTTAGGGACTGTATGCATCGAACAACTTAACAAAATGTGGCCGAGCGCGGAACCAAAATTAAAAAGTGCCGTTGATACGTTCCATTCTTGTAGCCGTTTAGTGCGGTTAAGAGGCGACTTGCAGCTATGGATAATAATCAGCTCTGTGCCCTTGAGAAGCAGAAGGCCTCATGTGGTTGTGAGCCATGCGAGATGAAGCCATGGTGGGGGCTTTATCTGGCCCTAAAGCTGCAGACTGCCCCACTCATGAAATAAATAATATTAAATCTTTACTTAAAGCTTTCGTGACTGGAAGAATTCATATTCTTTGGGGTTTTCGGTAAAGTCACGTAGATAGAAGAAAAAATAATAAAAATATCACGTTTCGATCGCAACACAAGTCGTCGTTATCAGGAAGTCGGGTTAGCTTCTAAAGACAACTACTTATAAAGGTTTGAAATGGGCGTAGCCCAAATGTCAGCAGCCAATGCCAATGCCAGTGGTGAGCAGTGACTGCGGCGGTGGTGGGCTTTCCACCAATCAGAGCTGCCAGGCAAAAAATTAGCATGTCAATGCAAGATCGCCAAGACTCCTTCACGGCGAGTGCGCCAAGGTGGCTATGTTAACGTGAGAGATTAGCATTTAATGGAAGATCGTGAAGCAGTAGCCTCGAGGATGGCACGCGAGGTAGCTGTGTTAGTGATTTAATCTGTTTATGTAAAATAAATCAGAGAGCCGAAAAAAACAACTAACATCAGAAGGTGGTAGGCTGGGAACATCATCGCCAGTTATGACTTAAACTGGTTAATAACGTCCTTCCAATGATTGCACAGTTTGTGCCCATCTTCTCGGTTGAAATTGTGTCTGTTTATATATCTGGATGGCTTCATGAACGAATCTTTGCTGATAGCCAGTGGGTGTGCAGAGTACCTTCATATTGGAAAAATAAATTTCGTGTGTGCCCACAGCATTAAAACAATGATCAGCCACGGCTTAGGTATTGGTCCAACCGTGTTTCAGATCTGCCTCATGTTCACGAACACTGTCCAAGACATGTCGCTTAGTTTCCCCAGAGTAACTACTGCCGCAGACACAGCTTAGTTTGTAGACGCCGGGGTATTGCATGTCCTTCACAGATGGGATCAGATCACGAATATTATGTCCCGTGTTAAATCGAATCTGCATCTTGTGTTTGCTCATGATTTTGGAAATCTTTTTGGTGACCCTTGCTATGTATGGCAAGGTGATGGTTTTGATTGGGTCCTCAGATGGTTATTTGGTTCTTTCCCAACGGTTGGGGTGATAGCTTTACAGATTGTGTAGTCTGAATATCCATTAATCTTGAGGGCTTGGTGTACGTGTTCCAGTTCACTGGTTCGGTCGTGATGGTCAGAGATACATCGAGCTCTATGGTGTAGAGTTTTGATGAGGGAATTCTTCTGAGATGGATGGTGGTGGGAGTCAGGTTTTAGGTAGGCAACCATATGAGTGGCTTTCCTGTAGACAGTGTCCCATTGAGCCATCTGGTCTCTTTTTGATTAAAACATCCAAGAATGGTAAATTTGCCATCCTTTTCCACCTCCATGGTGAATTTGGTGGCTGGGTGTATGGAATTGATGTGGTTGAAGAAATGGCCCAGAGCTGGTAGGCCATGTAGCCAGATGATGAACGTGTCATCTACGTACCTCTTCCACAAGGATGGACGTAGGGTGGATGCCTGGATGGCATCTGTCTCAAGTTTCTCCATGTAAACATTGGCTACAACTGGAGATAAGGGCGAACCCATTGGGGTACCTTCAACTTGTTTGTAGAATGTTCCATTCCAGGTAAAGTAAGTGCTGGTGAAGCAGTGTGTCTAACCAGGGCCAGTACATTAGTATTCAGTCCTTGTTGGACCAAATCTTCAATGATTGCAATGGTGTCAGGCACAGGAACTTTGGTAAACAAAGAAACCACATCGAAACTGACAAGCAAATCACCTGGCGATAGTGAGATGTCTTTAATTAACAATACCAAGTGAGCTGAGTTACGTACAGCTGAAGCGGTACAGCTGAAGCAGCTGAAGCGGTCTTACCAGTGAATGGTTGTAAGGTCTCGGACAGAAATCGGGCCAGTTTGTAGGTGGGTGAGTTAATGGTGGAGACGATAGGACGAAGCGGTGTACACCTTCTTTATGGATTTTTGGTAAGCCATAAAATCTGGGTGGTCTAGCAGCAGAGGGTTTTAAGGAAAGCCGCTTGGTTGGTTCAATTAAAGATGTCGAATCAGTGATATTGTTGGTTTTCGCAACAAGGCAGTTGGTGCGATCTTTATTGATATGGTATAGCTACCATCATTAAGTAGGTCCTGAATGTTATTATTGGATGTGGTTTTTTCCATGACAGTGGCATTGCCCTTGTCGGCTGAGAGGATGACGATGTCATCTCTCTTTTTTAATTGAGAAAGCTCAAAGCGCTCATCTTTACTGATGTTGCTAATAGGTGTCTTAGCGTTTGAGGATTGCAGCAATTTCCGATCTTGCCACGTCTGCAGGAATGTGTCCCAAACCCTTAAGGGCTATGTCGACCTGGGCAATAATATCATCAACAGGGATGTTTTTAGGGGTGACTGCGAAATTCAACCCTTTAGCTAGAACCGATTTTAGGCTGTCGGAATTTGGATTGTTACTCTGATAACAATCTTGTCACCGTCTAACTTTTTAATGTGTGGATCTGGTTTCTTCTTGGAAAGGAGGTTGAACTTGGAAATCAGGTTATCTTTGCATTTAGCTGACATTCAGGTGGCTGAAGAGGCTGTCATGTTGTCTACATGTTTCCAATCAGACATTTTCTCTCAATGTTAAGTGCGATTTCAAGAGAGTTGTCAAAATTGTCCAGTTCAAATCGGAGCAATCTTATTCTCTGAGATCAGAGCTAGGCCAGCCCTGAACAAGATCCGTTTAGCATTAGGAGAAGTGACAGCAGCAGCAGTCAGTGTCAAGGCGATCGGTATTACCTTAGTGTTGCGGCATCTCTTCAGAAAAGTGAGCTACTCGATCAGATGAGCCTTCTTGTCTCGAAGTTTGTTAAAAGATCAAATAGTTGGTGTGGAAACCCTCCCCGCAGAGGCGGTTAAATCTTGACTTAAAGCTTACGCTTCGTGACTGCAGGAATTAATATTCTTTGGGTTTTTCGGTAAAGTAATAATATTAAAAACAGAGGCTCGCTTAATAGACTGGCTTGCCAGCTCAACCACTTAAAAATCGGGCCCTACGGGAAAGTTGCCGATTTAAGACTAAAGACTGTCCAGGGGATCGCGAGAGCGCCCGGTAACAATCGTCCGCCCCGCATGGGAACCGCCGTGGCCGTGACGGCGCCGCCGCCGACTCACGCAGATGGCGTTGATGTCGGACTCGTGCCCGGAGAAGGTCTGCCGGCACATGCCGTCGCGCACGTCCCACAGCTTGGCGGAGGCGTCGCAGGCGCCCGACACGAACGCGCGGCCGTCGGGGGCCAGGGCCAGGCTCATGACGTCGCCCGAATGGCCCACAAACGCCGTCGTCTGCTGCCCCGTCTCGATGTCCCACAGCGCGCTGGGGAGAGGGGGGGGGGGCGACGGTGGGGGAGAGGGGGCATATCGCGTGGGGAGAAAGGAGAGGGAGATGTGCAAGTTTCGTGCTGGTTAGAGGCTGACAATTTTGGAAATGCACAGGGCGATTCATTTATAGATACAGTCCCGGCTATTTCTTGCTCACACTGATGCTGCCGGAAAAGCCTTCCTGCTAGAAGAGAACTATAGATCCCTTCTAACAGAGTATTTTGGCATATTCTCTTACATGCTGGCCGGGCATCTTGGAAGGAGGTGACCAGTTACTCGCACGATTTTCCAAACGAAAACTGCATTGAGAAAATATGAAGAACGCATTTGGGAAATAAAGTCGACATTTCTGTGCATTCCGCTGTTATTTAAACATTTTGGCTCCCTAAAATGGACAATGACGTAGGCACACAATGGCCGCTTATCGAACAATGGTCGCCGGATCGTCGATGTCCAATAAAGAAGATGGCATGGAGCTGTATTTTTTTTACGTTCAGTACAACCGCGGCATTTTAACCAAGACGGCCTGCGGGATCTGAGCCATGAACCCTCTGCAAGCAAGGGGGCAGACGTGGTACCGCTGGGCCATGCCACTGCCCCCGACAACAACCAGCAGAGGGGCAGGCGGCTGAAAACACAGCGAGTTGAAACAAAGGGGAGTATAGGTGATGTATTTTCCAGCCATCCAAGTCAGTCAACTCATGGCACCTGGGTCTGTCCCGTGACCTCCTGCCAGCAGTGAGCCTTCCACACTTCACCCTAGTCTTCCACACTTCACCTGATGGCCTCTAAGTGCACCTAGCCTGGCACAAGCGCTGCAGTGAAGTCACTGTCACAGAGTAGCGAACGGCGGCAGCCGCTGTTGCCGTTGTTGTGTCATGTTGCCGAGGGTCAGCGGCTCGGGTGAACGAATCCGTAGCGATGTTTAGGCGGTGATGGCGATGGTCGTGGAGGGGGCAGGGGAAAGAGGGTTGTATTGAGGACACGATGGCGATCGAGCGATCGAGGGTCGACTCGTGCACAGCGCGGTCCCTCACCATGTGGTGTCGCCGGAGCTGGTCACGATGCGGTTGTCATCCAGGAAGCGGCAGCAAGACAGGTAACCTGGCGACGGGGGAACCCGAGTGCGTCAAGATTGCCGGCGACGGGAAACGATGCGCTTGAGAATGGATTTGTTCGATAGAGCCGCCCCCCTCCTTACGCCGGCGTGTTTCAGCGCAATTTACACACGGATCAGACTTAAATCTCATCGCACCGCCCCCTGCAGCCCACAGCGTAGCCCACGCAAGCTCTACGACACTCTGTCAGTGGCATGCGGACGACAAACCAAGCGCTATCCAGGCTCAAACTTGCTTAGCTTCCAAGATCGGACGAGGTCAGGTGCTGTACATTTGGAGTTTGCGTGTCTCTCTCTGTGGTCGCGTGGATTTGTTGCCGGGATCCTCCGGTTTTTCCCTCCCTATTAGAAACATGCATTTTGAGTATTTGACTGCTATAAATTTCCAATTGAAAAGCCACTTCATGGGGCTATAATTTGTGACAAGGTCGCTTCTGAAAAAGAGCTATATAAAGCTCAGTGGGCCTTATCTGGTAGGATAAAAAAAGGTTTAGTTTTAGTTTATTTAGTTATTGGCATATATCTGTGTATGAGCACTTGTGTTTAAGGCTGTCTTAGTGTGTATAGGCTCAGCGTGTACAAGTGTGTATATAGAATGGGTGGGTAAGGGTATAGACACATAGATGATGAGTATGTGTAGATGCTGTATGAGTGCGTATATAATATGGGCGTCTAGGCTGTGCGTGTATATGAATGTGTGTATGTACTGTATAGGGCTACGGTTAAGTGCGCTGCGCTGCTATGAACCTGGCAGCCGGAGTTTGATTCCCGCTCACGGGTCCTGGGCCTCCCCAGGGGTCGACTCGGTCTCAAATGAGTACCTAGTACGGTGTGTAAACATTGCCACTGGGGAGACAAAGATGGCCAGGCGTGGTGCTGGCCACCCACCCCCTCATGTGCAGTCCCGACCTTTATCAGGTGCTCATTAACAGCACTTGCCCCAACAATCTGTTAAGGCTACACAGGGGACCTTTGCCTTTGTCCACGACGAGCGAGTGTACCCGAGCGAGCACCCACCCGTGTGGCCGGGCAGCTCCCTGCTGACCCTCACGTTGCCCTCACGGGTCTTGAGGCTGTAGATGGAGCAGATGTTGTCGAGGCCGCCGCACGCCACGTAGTTACCGGAGGGCGCGTACGAGCAGGTCATCACCCAGGACGAGCGCAGGGGGATCGCATGTACCTGCGTGGGACGCACACGCGCGCAGGTTACAACAGGGGTACACACGCACAAGGGATAAACAGGGCACACACACACACAGGTTACAACAGTGGTACAGACGCACAAGGGATAAACAGGGCACACACACACAGGTTACAACAGTGGTACACACGCACAAGGGATAAACAGGGTACACACACACAGGTTACAACAGTGGTACACACGCACAAGGGATAAACAGGGTACACACACAGGTTACAACAATGGTACACACGCACAAGGGTTAAACAGGGTACACACACACAGGTTACAACAGTGGTACACACGCACAAGGGATAAACAGGGTACACACACACAGGTTACAACAGTGGTACACACGCACAAGGGATAAACAGGGTACACACACACACAGGTTACAACAGTGGTACACACGCACAAGGGATAAACAGGGTACACACACACACAGGTTACAACAGTGGTACACACGCACAAGGGATAAACAGGGTACACACACACAGGTTACAACAGTGGTACACACGCACAAGGGATAAACAGGGTACACACACACACAGGTTACAACAGTGGTACACACGCACAAGGGATAAACAGGGTACACACACACACAGGTTACAACAGTGGTACACACGCACAAGGGATAAACAGGGTACACACACACAGGTTACAACAGTGGTACACACGCACAAGGGTTAAACAGGGTACACACACACACACACAGGTTACAACAGTGGTACACACGCACAAGGGATAAACAGGGTACACACTCACACAGGTTACAACAGGGGTACACACGCACAAGGGATAAACAGGGTACACACACACACAGGTTACAACAGTGGTACAGACGCACAAGGGATAAACAGGGCACACACACAGGTTACAACAGTGGTACAGACGCACAAGGGATAAACAGGGCACACACACAGGTTACAACAGTGGTACACACGCACAAGGGATAAACAGGGTACACACACAGGTTACAACAGTGGTACACACGCACAAGGGTTAAACAGGGTACACACACACACAGGTTACAACAGTGGTACACACGCACAAGGGATAAACAGGGTACACACACACAGGTTACAACAGTGGTACACACGCACAAGGGATAAACAGGGTACACACTCACACAGGTTACAACAGGGGTACACACGCACAAGGGATAAACAGGGTACACACACACAGGTTACAACAGTGGTACAGACGCACAAGGGATAAACAGGGCACACACACACACAGGTTACAACAGTGGTACACACGCACAAGGGATAAACAGGGTACACACACAGGTAACAAAAGTGGTACACACGCACACACAAGGGTTAAAGAGGGGAATACACACACACGAAGGTTACAGAGGTACACAAGAACACACAGACAAGGCTTAAACAGGGGTATACACACACGCAGGTTACAACAAGGGGAACACACGCACACACAAGGGTTAAACAGGGGTATACAAGACAAATATCCCCCGTATAGCCTTAACAGTCTGTTGGGACAAGTGCTGTTAGCGAGCACCTATGAAGGCTAGAACGGCACACGTGGGGGTGGGTGGCCAACACCATTCCGGGCCGCCTTTGTCTCTCCAGCGGCGATGTTTAAACATCACACCAGGTACTCATTTGAGGCCGAGTTGACCTAAGGGAGGCCCAGGACCGGTTCATTTAATCGTGTCTGGTGTTGGCCGTGAGCGGGAATCGAACTCAGGTCACCAGGTTCCTGGCACAGTGCGTGAACCGCGACACTACCGCGCTAACTGCTACACTACAGGGATATACACGCACGGGTTAGAAAAGTACACACACATTACGGGTTACAAAAGGGATATACACACAGGCGGGTTACAGACAAGGGTTACAGACAGATATACACAGAAGGGTTGTGGACAAAACCTCAAGACAAAGATCCCCCGTATAGCCTTAACAGGCTGTTGGGGCAAGTGCTGTTAGCAACCACCTTCGAAGGCCGGCACGATACACGAGGGGGTGGGTGGTCGGCACAATGCCAGGCAACCTTTGTCTCCCTAGGTGATATTTACACACTGTGCTAGGTACTCATTTGAGGCTGACTCGACCTAGGGGAGGCCCAGGACTGGTTCTAATAATAGCCACTGGTGTTGGCCGTGAGTGGGAATCGAACCCGGGTTGTCAGGTTTGTAGCAGAGTGCGCTAACCACTACACTACCGCTCCCCTATATACACACACACAGTTATACACATACGGATGCAAACAGATTACGCACCCACGGGCACACACACAGTTCCATGCACATGAGTGTGGATACACGGATGCAACGGAATACATACCCACTGGTTAACATTTTTATACAACGACTTAAATCAAATGGTATCATTCAAGAGTTCCATTCGACATTTCAAAAGTTTAAAATCAACGGGCTATCATTTTTCACGCGCAACGAGCCGCCGGGGACGCGAGCGGGCAGGCGGGGCGCGCGGGCAGGAGAGCGTACCTTGTTGGTCGTGTAACTGTCCCATATGATGAGTTTGCCGTCCTGGGAGGCGCTCACTAACAGTCTACATGTGTAGCGTGCACATGCATGTGTGTCACCACGTGTATGCACGTGTGTTACGAGTGTGGCGCGTGTGTGGGATGAGAGTGGTGCGAGTGATGAGTGGGTACGTGCGAGTGTTCGGGGCACGTGTGCATATGGTTACGAGTGTGTGGTACGTAGCATGTGGTTATGGGTAGTGTGTGCGTGTACAGTTACGGGCATGTGGTACCATCGTTGTGTTTAAGTGTCATGATGAATTATGCGTAGTGAAAGAATGGAAATCGTGGATATGGTTTTGCATGATGAATATGTGTGGTCATATATAAAGAGTGTTGTGTACGCGTTGTGTTGGGCATGATGCATTTCATGTTGCGTGTCGTGTGTCATCCGCAAAGCAAGGTGCGTTTGCATGCAGCGATGAAAATGCACGCGCACAGACAAACACAAAAACAAAAAACACCAAAGATGGTTTAGACAAAAATGAAACAAACAAAAAAACAGCCAAGACCTCATGCAACGCAAAACCATTGCAGCTTAATCCTTTGGCGCGGAACTGAGATATAAAAAAAACATCAAGAATAAATGGTGCATGGCCAGGAGAGGGGGGTGATCTTAAACAAAACAAACAAACCTGAGATTAAACATGACAAAAAAATGAAAAGCGAGCGATTAGCACAAATACACGGCGATTCGTGGCACGCCCGCGCCATGCTGAAAATGGAAACAGACCACGACTCCCAAATGAGAAAGTGACAGCAAATAATAAAGGAACGACGGAGACGAACAAAAAAAAACGGATCGAGGAATGCGCGAAACGGAATCCAACACGATCTCCCATCCTGGGGTCAGGAGCGCATCAAGGAGACGTGCACAAGCGAAAAGGCAAAGACCAACAAAAGAAGGACACGGACACGCACAATGAGCACTGCCACTGACAGCGTACACACGATGGGTGAGGCACTCACGTGGATTCTTGCGCCATGTCGAGAACCGCGGTCGCTGGGCGAGACCGCCGGGGAAAACGCTAAAAACGTACCGGGAAGCTGCTTGGCCGGTTAACAAACGAACGCGATTTCGCCTCGACGACCGAAAAAATGTGCAGGAAGATGACGGTGAGATTTGACCTTCGACCTTCGAAGATGCTGGCCCTTTTCGCCTCCCGGCACGCCCCCCCAACCCCCCACCCCGTGCCTTCGACTTTGGAGAAAGATTTCATTTATAAAGATAAATGAAACCATAAAAGCAAACCTCGGGCAAAACACTCTACCTTGTTGGTAGTGTGCGAGTCCCATATAATTAGCTTGCCATCTTGGGAGGCACTCACAAGGTTTCTGGACACAGTGGGGAAAACATTTCAAATGCACGCACACGTTGCACGCGGTTATACTCGGCAACACCACCCACTGCGCCTTCGCGACATTCACACAATGGCTCTGAGGCTCATTTCAACCTGAAACAGAAAATGTTGACTCGACCACTGCTGTTATGATTACGGAGTGAGTGCGGGGAGTTAGCTTGGTCTACGGAGCAGCTTGAAGCAAGAGTAAAAGCAACTCAAGATCTCGCTCTCTCAGCAGCTGAAGCTCCATGCCATGTGAGGGTGGGGGGGGGGGAAGACTGCCAAGAGGAGATTCACAAAGAACCACGCAGCGCAGCAACGCCAACTAAACAAAAAAACAACACTTGCTCTCATCGCTCGGGGAAAAAAAACTTCAGGACAGGAAATGTGGAATACCTGTGCCATGCGACACTCACGCACACGCGCAACATGCTTGAATGGGGAAAAACAACCACACCAGTTATTAAAATTGGGTTTCGCTCACTCCACGCTTCATCAATTTCAGGCTGCCACTCGCCCGCTGGTCACTCTGCTCACAACGCTCAAGATGATACTGCAAAGTTTTTCACGGTCGTGCTGCACGCCTCTCCCGGTTTACGTTTTAAATAAATTTGCGTTGGTTGGCACGCGCAGCAGAACGCCACGTGGCGCGACCCGAGAAAAAACGAATGTGAAAACACTTGGGGCTCCCGAGAACGTAAACAACTCGTACCCTACACAAGACCAAGCAAGGTTGGCAGAAAATAAAAGTTGACTGACAACGCTCGATTACTGGGAATAATGGGGACGGGGTGGCCCCGATGAATTAAGTCAAACGAATTATGCAAAATATACAAATTGGGCTAAAATGATTGTTTACCCAATTAGAATAGGGGTGAAGTCGTCTTCCGTTTTAAAAAAATAGCTTCTTCAAGTAAATCGAATCACTTGCTTGCCGACGGCATATGCTGTAACGTGGGTGCTGAGACACTAACGAGCGAGGAGCAGCCAACAATTACACCAGCGCACGAATTAAATCGTACATTTACATTTTTTGCGAGCGTGATTAATCCACAAGTCACACCATGTTCCCCACGGATAACCGAGAGTCAGCTGTACAAGAGAAAAAAACAAGACCAGGTTTGACATACGGATTTAAATGTTGGGACTCTTAAAACCCAGGGAGGAGCAGAATATGTGCATCAGAGAGAGGAGGGTGGCGAGACGGATGAGGGATCACAAGACTGGATCGTTCGTATGTAGAATTCTACACACAGTACGTAGCCAACCGTGCTAATTGGAGGTGCGGGAGAAGGACAACAAACCAAAAACACGAGTTCTAAAGAAATTATTTTTAAATTTAGATCGGGCCACAAATGAAGGGATGACGAAGAAGGCAAGAGTGGCTGTGCCCATCTCACGATAAGTTGGGAGAAAGTGGACTCGGATGGTGAGAGACGGAGGACAAGTCGCTTACGTTTAGGTGTACCCATCTCAGACAAGCTGGAAGAAAGTCAACTCAGATGGCGAGGGGGGGAAATGTTACGAGGAGGTAAATCCATAACGGAAGGAACGTTGAACGAATATGGAAGCATCAGGTTGGAGAACAAAAGACAGGCCCCGACAAAGCGGTGGTTTTAAAGCTGTGAACAATGGTTAAGAACTGTGCAGTGGACGTGGAGATGATAACCCAGGACAGAAATAAGTAGCTAAAAGGGAGCAAGAGAGGCAGCGAGAAGACACGAAACCCTGGCCACAGGACACAGGGGCGGAGCAAGGTGCTCACATGCAAAGACAAAGATGCTCCCAAACGCAGCCTTTAACAGACTGTCGAGGCGTAAGTGCTGTTAAAGCGAGCGTCTACGAAGGCCGGCACGGCACACGCGCGCAGACACGCACACACGGGGGAGCGGCCGTGGCACCTCGAGTCGGAGCCCCAGTGCATGGCGTAGATCTTGGCCAGGTGTCCACGCAGCGTGCGTCGTGTCCGCATTTGGATTCGACCCACGGGATCCATGTTGGCCGTGATCTGGGAGGGGCGGGGTAAGGATCGAACACAGCCAGTCAGGCAGAGGCTCGCGTTTATTTTACTTAACCGGCCGAGAACTCAAAAGCGATCAGGACATTTGCAAGAGTGATGCAGGCGACAGGCAAGGCAAGGCTGCTTCGCTGTGTGACAAATCTCCCTCATGAACAAATGCAGTCGGGCTCTCTAAAACGTGGCAACCACTGCCAAGCCCTGACCCAACCTTGTGAAAATGGTCGACCGTCTAAACCCACCCGAATCGTGGCCTCCACCTCTGACTGGAGAACCAACAGCCCCACAACTTCAGGTCCCGCAGGTCACATTGGGGGGCCTCCATTACTTTGAAACGGGCTGCAAACAGTGTTTACCCATAACTGCGAACATCTTGGCCGCACTAACCCAGTACTTAGGGAGGGGGACTACTCCTTTTGACCCGGCAACAACAATGCTTCGTTTGAGCGTGAGCAAGCGAGGAGTTGCCCGCCCAAGTTATTTGCAAGTGCTCCTCGGCACCTTCTCAGACTATCCCACCACAACCACCACCTACACCACAGCCAGTAACAATCTGGTTAGGGGATTCCAGCAAGAAACCCATTCCAATCCCACAATTCCACTGCCGATAACTTCTGCAGGAATCACAATTATTCTTGAGTCTTTCGGTAAAGTCACGTAGATAGGTTCAAAGAAAATAACAAAAATTACAAAGTAAACTAAATTTCGATCGCAACACAAGCAATCGTCATCAAAAGAGATATTTTTTCTCCTGATGATGATTGCTTGTGTTGCGATCGAAACGTCATAGTTTTTTTGTTATTATCTTTGACCCTATCTATGGGACTTTACCGAAAGACCCAAGAATATTAATTCCTGCAGTCACGAAAGTCAGGAATCACAATACTTGAACGAAAACTGAACTTTTTTATTTTTATTTCACCAGCTAAGCTCTTTTTAAAAAGCGACCCGTCTCAACGAAGTGGCTTATAATGTGAAAGTTTATAGGAGCCAAATTCTCGAAAACGTATGTTTCTAAAATGTGGAGGGGAAAAAACGGGAGGACCTGGAGAAAAATCCACACGACCACAGGCGAAATATGCAAACTCCAAATATACAGGTGCCAGGGTTGGGATCGAAACTACGGTCTCATGCATACCAGGCCAGGGAGTTAACATTTCGCCACCGTGGCATCTCCTTCTTATGGGCAATTCCCATGTCAACGTCTCCAATCACCCGCATGGGATTCAAACATTAGAATAGTCGAGCATGGTCATCCAGTACCAACAACCAATGTCAATGGCAATACCGGCATCTCTATTCAAATCAAAGGGAAGTTCTAAGAGATTATCTTTAATTGGGCTGTCAAAAATAATTCCATTCACTTAAACGGAGATGCTGGTTTCAACCAGTGAAATAAAAAGAGATTCCCCAACAGCCTAGGAACCGTGCGTAGAATCCCATTTCTTACGATAGCGGTATCCGAGTCTCCATAAAAGAGAACGGGAATTGTAGCGGTGATTTCAAGGATCACCACTAGATGGCAAGCTTTGGCTCTTGCCTACCGAATATAATAGCTGGACACGAAGCAGATTCTAATTATGTATGCCGTTTGGAATGGTGAACGATTTCATTAAGCACAGTGCAATTCTGGGATAGGGATCGTGTGAATTGCCTGGCACCAACGCCTATCGCATGCATTGGCCACACTAAAACACAAAGACAAATCCCTCCCCCGTGTAGCCTTAACACCGTTGGGGCAAGTGCTGTTCGCAAGCACCAATGAAGGCCGACAGAGCGCACAGCACCACGCCTAGCCACCATCTCCGTAATGGCAACATTTCCGCATCGAGCACTCATTTGAGGTTGAGTCGACCTAAGAGATGCCCAGGACCGGTTTAAATATCGTTACTGGCGTTGGCCATGAACGGAAATTGAACTCAGGTCGCCGGATTCATTGCGCAACACGCGAACCGCTACACTACCACTCCCCACATCACCTACATCATTACAACCATCACAGCAATCAGCACCTCCATCCACACAACCATCACAGCAATCAGCCCAGTTATTACCATCACCACCACAACAGGTATCACCACCACATCAGCACTACTACCACCAGTTTTTACCGCAACCACCACCAGCAGTTATTACATTATCTCCACTTCCACTAGAGACATGACCCTCCTCCACAACATCATCTCTATCTGAAACAATCACTTCCAACAACACCAACAGTCATAACCTACCACCACCATCCAAATGAGCATGATAACATCATTTTTTCACTACCCATCGTTTCCACAACTTTCACCTCCAACACAATAAACCACAGCACCCCCCCATGTGGTGCGAGTTTGATACCTGGGTGAGGGTCGTGTCTCCACACGCCTTCCTCGCATCCTGCAGGAGAAGAGACGGGGTGGGGAGTTGAGAGGATCGGGTGATGAGAGGAGGGCAGAAAGTAGGCAGGCGACAAAGATGAAGACACTCAATGCAATTAATCATCGCTCTTTCACCATGTCACTACTATGTCGTTACCATGCTCATGCACCCCACCTTACTGGGCCTGAGAAGCCAAGCAGGATTGAGCCCAAAGAGCGGGAAAGTTTTCCCCCAACAGGTCAGCCAATGGGTGAACTCTAGGAATTTTTGTTTAAATGTAGCCAATTACTAGACTGGGTCTTCTGTGTACCGGAGTGTCTCAGTAACGGCCACCGAACCCATCTCCGTCTGCTGCGTGTTCATTCAGAATCCGTAAGTCCAGCCTGGTCACTGTCGGTAACAACTTCGGCCTGCCGTGGGTGGACAGCAGTCACTGTCATGCTGCTTAGTCATCAGCCACACAAAATAAAATGAAAGCGACGAGTTGACGAAAACAAATTTTGGTACTAAATGGAAGAAAAACCCAACGCGGAACGGAACGAATCACGATGTGCCGAGACGCCACTGTTGGGGGGAGGGCGGGGGGGAGTGGCTCTTAGGACTTGTACACACGGAGGGAGGAGAGGGTGAGGCGGCAGAGTGGGGGGAAGTAGGAGCAAAGCAACGGGGGGGGGGGGGGGGCGGCGTGGCTCAGTGGGTACGTGCTAATAAGCCACATGAGGCCCAGCGGTGCAGACGCAAGCAATCGCTGGCAACGAGAAGGGGGCATCGAACAACACGGAGGAGATGAAGGGGCTATAATAATAATTTTGTATATTTGGTATTCGCGCTATTCTCATTGTGCAAGGCTGTCATGAAGGTGCTCGTTTCAAATATGTAGAACTTCTTTCGCACCGTACGTAGCCAACCGTGCTAAATTGTAGGTGCGGAATAGGTCTTCCAGTTTGAGGCGATGTCGCCATGCGATTTTACCACCTACTGTGCACCTCTTTTTGTACCGTCACGCCGGCGCACGTGGGCCCAGATCTTTTTGTTTGAATAACGTCACGGGATCTTCAACGTCCGCTGGTCGCGCTAGCGCGGTGCCGTTTCGCGGTTAAATTCACCGGCGGCATTAACCAGGGTAAGCCAGCCAGCCGCTGGGCTCGAACCGCAAACCTCTGCAACGAACTGCAAATGGCCCTACCGCTCAGTCACGTCGCCGCACACGCGTCATAGTGCCAGCGGCAATAAAACTGGCACTGAAAAAAAAAGATTCCCCCGTGTAGCCCCCCCACGGCCTGCTGATGCAAGTGCTTTTGGCGAGCACCTACGAAGGTCGCAATGGCGCACAAGAGGTTGTCGAGTGGCCGTCCGTTTCGCTCAAGAATGGCGACAATAGCAAACTAATATTTATTATTATTACAAGAAAACCACAACACCATGTGTGTGCGAGCATGCACCTTGATTTGATTCTTGAGCTGTTCTGCCTCCTGGCGGAGTTGGTCCAACTCGCTCATCGTCGCCACGGTTCTCTCCACAAGTCGTCACGGGTGTCACGCTCTCCTCAAAAGCTCGCCAAGTTCACTTCCTCCTGTGGGCGGGGAGACAAAGGCGGGCGGGGGGGGGGGGGACAAGGTAGACAAGGAGATTGACTGAACGATCGACAACCTGTAAAGGATAGTTTAACAGGTAGGCTTTCGCGACCAATTTTATCAATAAAGGTTTTTTGGGTTAGGTAGCATAGATGTGTCGTTAAACCCCCCACCACCCGACACAGCCAATTTGCAAGGTTTGTCACGCAAAGTGTCAATTGAGGGTTTACTCTCCAAAACACAGATGTGTTGCTGAAGTAGTAATTAATTGACATGTTTTGTTTACGTGACAAACCTTACGAATTGGCTGTCTTGGTGGTGGCGGGTTTAACACCACACTTATACTGTCAAGGATAACCAGGAAACAGCTCAGTTTTGCACTTTTGACCAAATCGTTCGGTCACGGCTAGCATCAGTGGCGAGTTGTCACCGCCCACTGGACAACCGCCATTCACCAATAAGTGGCGGTGACGTCACCACGACGCTTTTGCCAGGCTATGTGCACCTTGAGGCCACGTGAAGTGTCGAACGCCCGCTGGCAGGTCACGGGGCAGACCAGATGCCATGGGTCGACTGACAGATGACTGGCTGATACACCACCTGTGCCCCCTACTGTGCCAACTTGCTGTGCTTTAGCCACCCGGCACTCCGCTCATTGTTGGGAGCGTCGCTCCTCCGCCCTCCGTTGTTGTTGGAGGGCGACTGCCCCCAAATGCCCAGTAGCGTCCTTCACGAGCCTCCTCCACAGAGGCCGATCTTGACACTGCTGGTACCGGTCATCGGCAAGGTCACTCGGCTCCACATCCTCCTGTACCACATCACTCCATCTTTTCTCTAGCCCGTGCTGCGCTCGTTTAGCCTGCGATCCGGCCGAACAAAGCTGTTTAGGCATGCGGTGATTGGGCATGCGGGCTACATGACCCAGCCATCGCAGCCTTGCCTGCCGGAGGAGCTCACTCATGGGACTTGTCCAGATCTTTCAAGGATTTGTGAGCTCCTCACATAATCCAGTTTGGTTAAACCCAGGATGGATCGTAGACAGGCCAGCCTAAATGTTTCTAACTGGCGAAGATGTTCCATTTGGGGGGTCCACGTTTCGTAAGCGTAGAGAAGGGAGGGAATGACTGTGGCCGAGAAGACCTGAAGCTTCGTGCAGAACGACAGACCAGGTAGGTAGCTCCCACACAGCGTTACGCAACCGATGAAAAGATAATGCCGCTTGACTGATTCAGAGTGAAACCTCTGCTGTTAAACCGGAGCCGGTGATGAACACACTGCCCAGGTATGGGAAACTCTCCACTCTCTCCACAACTGCCCTATCACCAATTGGGAGTTGTGGGGGTGGAGTGTCCGATGGTACAAAATACCCAGGCAGATGCTTCGTTTTGGTGGGGCTGATGGTAAGGCCCCACACCTCTTAGTGGCAAGCTCCAGGTTCAGCAGCAGTGCCTCCATCTCCTCCTCTGAGTGAGCAGCAATTACCAGATCATCGGCATACATAACATGGTTGAGCAATAGAGAGCCATCCCTTGACCGCACCAGTGCAATCGATCAGCCTCCCATTGTATCTATACCTGATGGAAATTCCGAACAGTACAGCTATTGAAGGGTTCACGAACTATATGGTCGAAATAGATGTTAAATAATGTGGGAGCAAGAGGACATCCCTGTCTCACCCCAAGGTGAACAGGGAATAGCTCCGACTCCCGCCACGTAGTTTTACCCAGGCCCGTTCACCATCATGAAGGTCCTTAATGATCGTGAGCAGAGGGTCAGGGACTCCGAAAGCATGAAGAACAACCCAGAGCCCAGGCCTAGTGATGGTATCATAGGCCTTGACCAGGTCAATAAAGTAGAGATGTAGGTCTTGCTGGAATTCCCTACACCTCTGCTGTAGCAGACGGAAAATATGGCATTTGTGCAGGAGCGCCCTTTCCTGAAACCGCATTGGGGCTCCGCAAGCCTCTCCTCAGCGTGCCTAGCAAGGCAATGTTGAATAATCCTTGCTAGGACCTTTCCCGGCACACTGAGGAGCGAGATGCCCCTGTAGTTGTTACAGTCTGTGCGGTCCCCCTTCTTAAAGAGGGGGAACCACCAGGGCATCCTTCCAATCCTGCGGAACCTGTCCACGGGGTCTGATGGAATGCAGAGAGAGGGTTTTAGGCCATCGTCCAGCATGTGGAACACCGAAGGGCTGCAGACACATCACAAACATGGGCTCAGAATTCACTATGCCGCCGACTAGACCAACGATAAATTTACACAGAAGCTAAATTATCCAGAATTTGCGTATAAATCGGGGAGGTTTTTGAACTCCCTTAAAACCTAAAAACGTTCAAATTAAAAAAAATTGCACTGCCAAAGCTCAACGAGCGAACAGCGCGCAAAGCCACACGGAGCGGTTGTCATCCACGCTGCGTGGGAACGTGACGGTGCCAAGTGCAGCCCCAGCCTGAACAGTGGCTGCCACAGCATTGCAATGTGGGTTCCAGAATTGTCTTGTGATTTTCGGTGGTGTTACTGCCATCATTCACCTTTCTTGTATATTGCTTTTTAAATTTTTCCACAGTGTAAACCGGTCTCTTCCAAGACACGCCTGGCCATCGTGAACACCGTAATGCCAGATGTCGTCTGGACAGGGCTCTCTCACAACGCAGTTTCAAATCAAGATCTCTTCTGTAAATCGGCGGCGTGAGCAAGCAATTTCCAGGACTGCATCTCGTCCAATACGCAACGCAATATAAACACGGGACATTGCATGCCGTCAACGGGCGAGATGTGATCTTTGGTGAAAATTTAATGGCGGCTTCAAGAAAACCGTCACACCGGGGGTGCGCTACCCCGTCCTAAATTGGCTTCGTATTTCAAGGACTCGGCAAATAAGAATCATTATAACAGTGCACGGGATTGCGAGAAGCCCCGCTTGAAAAGACTAGCTCAACGGCGGCGCTGGGCCCAACCCCTCCTGGCGAAACTGCCCAGGTGTGTGCCCAGGGAGAGGAAGGTGCTTTTGTTTAGAGAGTCGTCACCATGGCAAAGGATAGGTGTGCTCATTAGGGTAATTAGCGAGTGCAGCTCCTAACGAGGGGTTTTGCCAGGGGGGTTAGGTGATGGCGTGAACGGTGCGTGTGTGACGGGGGGAAGGGGGGCACTGAAGGTGGCAGGGGGTCTACAAGCGAGACAACTGCTTGCAGGTAAGCACGCAGGTACACGTGGATACACGAGACACAAAGGCACACAAGCCGATACAGGTACCCAAGCTGACAGGTACAAGGGCTTACACACAAAGGCAGTGTAAGTACATAGGTGCACACACAGGTAAAGCATGGAGGCATAAATATGCACATCCAAAGTTACACGTGCAGGCATGCAGGAGTATGGAAGCCGACAGGTAAACGTACAGGTACACATCCAGAAACAGTTCCATACGCAATTAAACAAAGGTCATTATAGGCACATTGATGGATGGCTTTGCTGCTTCAGCTCATACCTGTATACGCACACACAAAAAAAGGTGGATACAATGTCCAGGCAGGTTGGCAGGCAAATACGCACGCAGATGTTTAATACAGGTGTACACACACATTGGTATGGGTGCGCAAGTGCAGGCACAGTTCGTGTGCGTCTCCCGAGAACGATCATTAACTGGCTGCCCAGAGGAACAGCAGCCAAGACAACCGCTGTCCGCCCTGCCCACCGCGCTCACACCCTGTCAGACTGGCCAGAAACGCAACCACTTCCCCCTTATTATTATTAGTCAGGAAAGCCTTGCAGAGTCTCATGACTGTTTTTCAGGAGGGTCCTGGCAAGTGTCGCACGACGGGTGGGGGGAGATAATTGTATTGCATATTCCAATTGAGTAATTTGCTGGTATTTTGTTGTTGTGTTATTTGGCAAATTTGAACAGTGATGCCCGGCACACAATGGCCTACTCTTGCGAATGACATAACGCGTCACGTGATCTTTTGATGTCCACCGTCAAACAGACTGTGCGCATTTTTACGGCGAATACACCCGCGGTATTATTCAGGCCAGCTACTAGATTCAAACCGTGAACTTCTGCAAACAAGCGGCGAACGGCGCTAAACCGCCGGACAGTCCCAGATCACCGCCACCAACGATTAATCCACTGCTGGACAAAGGCCTCTCCCCAAACAGTCACCATCACCCATTGTCCTGCAACAAAACAATCAATCCAGTGGCTACACCACTAGTTGGGTTTCATCGCAACATCCCCAAGCTCACACATGTGGCTGCAACTCTGTACTTGCGCGCGCCCGATTGAAAAAGTTCCTAATAGTAAAACACAAACGTTACGAATACAAAGCCAATTTATTTGCAATTGATCTTTGAAAGGGGTAATAGTCAATGTATTCTGGGTTGTTTACATGCATTTCCCTTCCAGTTCTGTCCTGCCCTCCCCACCCTCATCTCACACCACATGGTCTCGTTAAAAACCTGCCGTGTCTGTGGGCCACCTCAGACCGATCCATCCCCTGACTGTAGCGGTAGGGTGGCCGCAGTAGTAACAACTGTGCTTTCCAGCAAGAAGCGCCTGGGTTTAATTGCTGTCTGCCACTTTTCTGCGTAGAGTTTTGTATGTTCTCCGTGTTCTGCATGGGTTTCCTCCGGGTTCTCTAGTTACTGCCGCCACTCCACTTCCACCCATAGCTAAAAAAAAAACAATTTAACTGGTATTGGCCAAATATTTCAAATTACTCAATTGGGATTCATATAGCCACATTGTCCCAAACTTGACATCTTAGCAGGAGCTACAGTGAGGAAAAAAAGTATTTGATCCCCTGATGATTTTGTACGTTTGCCCACTGACAAAGAAATGATCAGTCTATAATTTTAATGGTAGGTTTTTGAACAGTGAGAGACAGAATAACAAAAAAATCCAGAAACACGCATGTCAAAAATGTTATACATTGATTTGCATTTTAATGAGGGAAATAAGTATTTGACCCCTCTGCAAAACATGACTTAGTACTTGGTG